ACAAGTCAAAAAAATTTATTCTCCTTTATGACGCCTAACTCTATTGCTTATCCTATACGCACTACTAATAATTCTCAAATGCCTATTAGTCATTTTGGTACTGTCTCTTTGCCTTCCCTATCCATTCATGATACATATTTTGTTTCTATCATTAACTTCAACCTTCTTTTTGTTGAACAACTTGTTGATATGGATTATGATATGTTATTTAATAAATGTTGTTGTATTGTCATGGATTCTTAGATAGGACAGGTTATCAGGACTGGGCATAAAATTGGCTGCATGTTCGAGCTCACCTCAATGAACCTACCTGAGATCACTGTTCCCACATTGTGTGCTACCTCCACATCCTCTTCTCCTGATTCTTCTCTCGACTTATGACATCGCCGTCTTGCTCACTCTTCTTTAAATAAATTGTGTTCTTTAATTTTTAGTAGTTTTTTAGGTCATGTTTATAGTCATTACTTATAATGTGTTTCTTGTTAGACTACAAAAAACTTGCTTTGTTTTTTCATAAAAATGATTATATATCAGAGGCACTCTGTATCACAGGCTTCAGTTCTCTACTAGCTCCTTTCTTGCATTGGAAGCTTACTCAAATGCTGATTAGGGTGGTAATTGTGATAATTGATGGTCTATGATGGGTTTTTGTATCTTCCTCAGTCATTCCCTTATCTCTTTGAGAAGTAAGAAACAAACATTAGGATCTCCCTCTAGTGTTGTATCGAAATATTGTGCACTAGAAGACAACACTATTAAGGTACTTTGGCTTTGTTGGTTACTTGATGAATTGGGAGTATCCCAGACATTTATTGTGATAGTCAAGCTACAATCAAGATTGCTCACAATGATATGTTTCATCAGCAAACCAAACACATTGAGATTGCCTGTCACTTTACTCGACAGCATGTTGTTCGAGGCACCATCTGACTTATTCCAATTCAAATCAAGCATCAGCTAGGAGACTTGTTTATACAAAGTCTTTTCATCCAGGTCATTTTTAGTTTCCAGTAAACAAACTCAAGTTGCTCTCTATTAAATCATTTTGAGTTTGAGGGGGATGTTATTTATAATACTCTAAAAATATATTCTTATCTATTATTTGCTATTATTTGAGAGATATTATTTGATAAGATATTATTATAAATAGTCCTTATTAGATTAATAGTCTTTATTAGGTTATCTCTTCCTTCTTGTATATATTGTAAGGGTTAAGGTGCATTTTTACTCTTAAAGTATTTTTCGAACAACACCCAACAATTGAACATTTTTTGTTGGAGTAATTTTGCCCTTTCCGTAAAAATTTTAATGTTGACTTTAAATGTTGACTGCTAAAAAATTTGATAAAAATGGTAAAAATGTTTCGTTTTAATAACTTTATGGACAAAATTGCTTCAATAAAAATGTTAGAGTGTTGGATGTTCTTCAGAAAATACTTCAGGAACAAAATTACACTTTTACCCATATTGTAATTATCACAATAGTAATTGATATGATATTTTTTAATCATTTTTGAGTTTATTTCTTTCATCTTTGATAGCTCTCAGTCATATAAAACTAGGAGCAACCCAACTCCGAGTTACCTGAAGTCCCGAATCCGACGTTATGGCTCCAACTTCTTAATATGGCAAATAAAAGAAAGAAGGGGGATGGAAAGTTCTGCTGCTGCTCATAGTGCAAGCCACCAGTCTGTTCTCTGCCTCTCCTCTCACTCTCCTCATCCCATTCCCATCCATTGTCCCTTCCTCAATAATGCCCCCACAACACCAGAATCCTCTCAATAAATTCTCTTTTTTCTCTTCTTACCTTCTACTTGGCTACTCCTATGCCCTACTCCACTTATTTCCCTTTCTCTCCCTGTCCTCCTCAATTCTACTCTCTCTCCTTGTCCCCACTGTTCCCGTGCTGTCATCCTGCCTGCCTCCCTCCCTCCCTCAATGCTACCCACTTAATTCAATCTACTCTTCTTAATTCCTTCATTGTGACTGCTGTGTACATTGATTCCAGCAATTCTATCTTTTCTCTTCTCTCGTGGTGGTACAATAATCATTTAACAATTCTCAAAACATATGAGAAAATACACACATACACACACATCTACGATACAGAATGAGGATCTGCATTGCAGACAGGCGTACGTACGGCCTGGTGGCAAAGACTCAGAAATGATTTGGCTTTTCTGCATGCCCTCTGTCAATCTGCCTGCTGCATGATGTTAACAGCCAGCACCATCTCCTTCGTCCGATGTTATCGTGTTCCTCCACGCTCACCATAGAAAATTGTAATTAAATAGAGGCGACAAAATTGTTATAAATGAAAAATGCAATGTATGTTGACAAAAGCATGGTCGCAATTAATGTGAAAGGACTAAGGAGGTGTGCAGTGGGCGGTACATCCTTAGGAGCTCACGTAGTCACATGGGGGCCGATATTGGGTATAAATATAATAATAATAGCAGATGAGGGAAGCAGACGATGACCCGGTGGGGGCCACCGTGGCTCGCCTCTCAAAAACATCACCACCAAATAATTGTTCTACCATGATCCGATTCAGATGTTCATTTTAATGCTGACCATCGTCTGCTCTTCCCTCTATAATGACTAATGGGAACTAATTTTCATCCCTTAGCTCTTGTACTGATATACGATACCTGCACATGCTCTCTAAATGGCAATCTAGAAGGAAACGGCACTGTCTTCCCGTAATGAGATCCAATACATTCGTGTTCCTTAATATATCAACTCCTCGCCGCTGATCATGCCCAAGTTAAGATGCCCGATTTATACACACGTATACCTCTAACGCGAGGCAGATAATGCCACTTTAATTTTCCTGTCGATCTGACAGCATAATTCGCATTCGCAGCCGAAATTAATAAAAGTTTAACTCTGCGAGCCTTAATTGTCAACATCCCATTCGGACCATTTAAATAACCTTTTTTTTAAATTAATCATTTAATTTTTATAATTTTAACTCAATTATAACTTTATCCTTAAAATTTTAACTCAATTATAGATCAATCTCTAAACTTTATTTCTTACAATTTAATCTCCAAGATTTCAACCTCTTTAATATTTATCCCTATATTTTAAAAAATATAAAGATTAACAATATTTTAAACTTTTAATATTTATAATATTAAAAGAGTTTAGTAATTTAAGATATTAGTAATAGATTTTAAAATATTTTTAATCTTTATAATTTTATTTTTTAAAATATAAAAATTAATATTTAAAAGGTTGAAACTTTAAAAACTAAATTACAAAAAATAAAGTTTAGGAACTGATTTATAACCAAATCAAAATTTTAAAAATTAAGTTATAATGAGTCAAAATTTAAGAATTAAGTTACAATTGGATCAAAATTACGAGAATTAAATAATTAATTTTTCTTAACTTTTAATTGATTTTAGTAAAGGTGATGCTGTGAGAGAACTTACGAAAAAAGATATCAACGTAACGTGAAAACCCTCGGCTGCAACACTAGATTTCACACAAGTCATAAACAGTGCAGCTCCTACGTTCCATGCCACACATGCATGCATGCATACATACATACATATATCTTTACACACCGTACTGGTCAATGGACTTGGTGTAATTTGTTTCCATCTCTTCCATATTTCTCCATATATTTTAGCATCACTTCAAATTATATGTTAAAGATGATTATAACGTTTTAAACGAATTAAATTATGGTGATGCCCAACCTATATATAATGTATAAACCGTATGAAGCCAGTTAAGCCGGGTGTTTTGTTATTTGGTAGCATGGTGTTTAAATATATGTATTTTTTCTTAATTTTAAAATGGACAAATCTGACAAAATACTAATGTTGTCATGTAAGAATGTCTTACTATGCAACTCACGGAATTAATGATGGCTGATTTCACAGGTAATGTGGAGACTGTCTCACTGTGCTTAGAAAAGCTTGGACCGAGTTCCTCTCTGTTACCTTTATAGTAAATTAATGGGGATTGGGAACCTTGTCGGAATGGCAACAGAAAAAGGTGTCGTGGGATTATAGTCTTGTTCGCTTGTTTTAACTTATTCAGTTCTACTCCTTTAATGCATTCCAGCCACATAATTTTCTGGTTTAACAAAGAAAAAAAGAAAAAGGTTCTCTTCAAGTCGCAATAAAATCTGATGCATATATACATTGCTACATGCTCACCCGTCTTACAAAAACATCGGAGCGATAATACTTGTATATACCATTGACTATCTTCGATATCGTGTGTTAAGGAAGATGAGTATGGTTGACTCATGAAATTTTCTTTTCAAAGGACTCGCAGTGTTATCTAGGTGATTTGATACTGTCCCCATGTACACATATAGGCGTGCTTTTCAAATTGTGCCTTGGGGGCATACTCAGGGTTTCCCTTTCGAGTGTAAGATTTATCTGGTTGTTTCTTTATAAATATAAAGTGAATCTTAACAAAAGATATCAGTTATCACAAATTAAGTGTAACCCGGATATCCTATCGAGACGGACCAAGCAAAGTTTCACTGTTGGATGGCCATAGATACACACACACACACACACTCTTGATATTTTTATCAAAAAAAAAAAACATATATATACTACGTACAACTGGATGGCCAAATTTAGCTAAATATGTTCCTTTTTTCGGGGTTATACGTTGCTCCTTCCAATGGACCACGGCTAATGTTTTAATAATGATATATTTATGGGGTCAAAAATAAGAAAGCGGGAATTGTAGGTGGCTAGCTAGCTAGTATGAGCAAGACGCGAAAGAGTAGAGATGTTAAGGAATGGTGTGAGATGATGTTGGTGAAGGCAGGGAATAATTGGTGGAAGTCAAAAAGGGAGGATCCAAGGCGCCACGGAGGCGTCACCGGGCTGTCTTCCATTGGTGATCGAACTTCAAAACAAATACACGTGTCGATGTTTAATTAGATCTAATTCAAAGATTTTACGGGTTTAGTTTTAGTCAGCAGGTGTTTCTGGCGAGTCCCAGCCTGCGTGTACGTACTAGGCCAAGACACAGAAGGAAGCAGGCGATGTGAGAGAGAGAGAGAGAGAGAGAGAGGGTAGTCTCGCCCTCCTCACACACTACGCGTACCCTACGGGACCATCGTCCTCCCCTTCAAATTTGATCTTTTTTCCTCGACGACACGATCCGACTCTACCGCTCCTTCGCCCCCCCCCCTCCCCCTCCTTTCCTTTCCTCCAGCTTACTCTGAGCCACCAAATCTCATGGAAATGGAGGATCATCACCATCATCATCAACAGCAGCAACAGCATCTCGAGTATGATTCTATGGGGGATCTCAGGCACCTCGTGAATGCACCGCGGTCGTCACTCTCAGCGGACCTCTTCCCGCCCCACTCGAATTTCACACCCGCTCACCACTATGATTCCATGGCCTTCGCTCGTCATCAACTGATGGCTGATATCATGCCTCGTGGCCTTCACCATCCTACTGTTCTTAATACTAGCATTTCTGCGGCCACTCCAACCGCCGTCACTGCCACTACTCCAACGCTTAGCGCCTTTGACGCTGATGCTTCGGGTTGTTTCCCAGGAGACTCCTCCACGGCTCGGTGGCCCAGACAGGAAACTCTTACACTTCTCGAGATCAGATCTCGTCTTGACTCCAAGTTCAGACACGCCAATCAGAAGGGCCCCTTATGGGATGAACTTTCTAGGTACACTTTCCCCTCTTCTTGCTTCCATCTCCCTGGCTGCTTGCTTCTTTTTCCCTCTTTTCTTCTAGTTAAATGGTGTTAAAATTTTTAAGGCCGGACGATTCAACGCAAACAACCATTTCAATACTACTACTAAAATGGCTGCACTTAGTGTCCATTCGGTCGTCAGCCATTGATTTCTGAGTATACGATTTTGTCTCTCTTCCTTCCGCTGGAAAATTACCATACACTCGCACAGTGTTGTTTTCTTTTTTCCAGTAATATTTCTCTCTTTTTACTCAATTTATGATTGTTCATATTGTAGCTTAAGTATTGACGTTTACTGTGTATGCCAACACCCTCGCGGTTCTACCAGAGACTCGCGTCTCGTTTAGAAATTTTGCACCCCTCTTTTAAGTGCAAGTTTTCCCTTTTACTCTTGGTTGTTTTCAGATTGAAAATCATTGACTTTTTTTATGCCTTTGCACTTATGGCTCTCGTCTAATTTGATCCTATGAAGTGACATCAGCCAGAGACCATTCCTTCAAAAAGCTCATTTCTCTGTAGCAACGGTCCTGGATCTGCCATTTGCTTGGTTGTCTTTGCTATAACTGGGTAGCAAGAACATTCAAAACTTCAGTGCATGGCACCGCATTGTTAATCACCAAAATTAACATCACCCTTATATGGACTTCTTCGGGCACTTCTTGTCACATCTCTAATTATTAGGGTTTAATATCCTACCACACTAGATTTGTTCTTACTTAATAAGGCCTTTTTTTTTTCCTGTTTTATTCGATGCCTTCCACATCATATAGTATCGCTTGTCTTAATGTCCAGAATCATGTCCGAAGAATATGGATATCAAAGGAGCGGCAAAAAATGCAGGGAAAAATTCGAGAACTTGTATAAATATTACAAGAAAACAAAGGAAGGTAAGGCAGGAAGACAAGATGGGAAGCATTACAGATTCTTTCGTCAACTTGAAGCTTTATACGGAGAAAACACCAACCCAACCTCAGTCCAAGAAACCAATTTTGGTAGCAGCAGTCTTCACTTTCAGACCCCTTCCCAGACAAATCAAGACATTTTTAATAGACACTGTGATAGCGTCAGCCTCACTAATAACTCCGCTGAGCTGGACACATCATCATCGGATGAAAATGATTCAATGGAGAAGAGGAGAAAGAGAGGAGGAAGAAACTGGAAAGCAAAGATAAAAGAGTTGATAGACTCAGAGATGAAGAAGGTGATGGAGAAACAAGAGGCATGGTTGGAGAGATTAATGAAGACATTGGAAGAGAAGGAAAAGGAGAGGGCGCTGAGAGAGGAAGAATGGAGCAGACAAGAAGCAGCCAGGTTAGACAAGGAGCATAAGTTTTGGGCTAAAGAAAGGGCATGGGTTGAATCCAGAGACGCCGCTTTAATGGAGGCGTTGCAAAAATTAACAGGAAGAGAAATAAAGGCTGGTGATCCACATACTGCTGATATTCAAAATTACAGCGAAAACCAGAATGAAGATGGAAGTGAAATACTGCATAGCACCGACAGAGTTGGTGAAAGTTGGACAGAATCTGAGATCACTACTCTCGTTCAGATGAGAGCTGAGGTGGAATCCAGGTTTGGGCAAAGTGAGTGCCCGGAGGAGGTTCTTTGGGAGGAAGTTGCAAACAAAATGGCTTGTTTTGGCTGCCATAAGGCTGCTTCAGTGTGCAAAGACAAATGGGAAAACATCAGAAGCTATCACAAGAAGCGCAAGCAAAATTCAACTAGTTTTTACTTGGAAACCAATAATCAGTCACCCTTGTATAATCAAGCAAGCGCTTATTGTGATGTCGCCCAACAGCGGACGGATGGTTCTTCACCTTCAAATTCTAATGTTGGAAATGCTGCTAGAGCCGATAGTTGTTTTCCTTTGTTTATGTGTGAAGGAGAAAGTATGTGGGAAAATTACGGCTTAAAGCTCAACAAAGGAAACCAAAACCCGTGAGCGACAAGCACTGCTGACGCCTATGCAAGATAGTTTCTTCCTTTTCATTTATCCTTGAACTAGATATGTTTATGTGCATTGCACATATATCTTAGAGAATGAATTGTACTCATTATGACTGACTTGTGAATAGCGTGATTTGTTATAAATTTTATTATATATATTGATATATTGATACATCTCATGATCATTGATGATCTGAATAGAGATTGATGATGATTAGGGGCTCAGTTTCATTTTCTATTGTATCATCATGCGAGCGTTTATGATATGAGGAAAAGAAACGGATTAGCCTTTGAAACCACGTTTAACTTGTAGGGGGTCGAATTATGGAAAAGCTGACTTAAAATTAAGCCTTGGCAAACGACCACAATTGAAGTGAGTTTGTTTAATTTGGTGCAGATTATTTATTTTATGCACAAAATTTGTTACATTCGTTTTACTTCGATTAATTTCGTGGTCAGTCTTTCGTCCTTTCCTCCTCATGTAAATCTTTGTGCTTAAGGGGACAGTGCAGGTCTGTGGTATGTCCGTGCTGAAGGCATGTAATAGAAGCAATTTATTTCTCTTCACAAAAAAGCAAGGAAGATTTCTTTTACTGTCTTCTTTTCTTCTGTTCTTTTTTATTATTTTATGCAAGTACGCAATCAGTGATGATTGATGTGTCCACGGATATTGCTGATGTATCGATCAGTATTATATAATTAGGCTAACTTGTATACAAATTATGTAACAAGCTATTAATTAGTTCTGGTTTATAGTTATACCTAACAAAGGTACGTAGGAGAGGCAATGGGAATTTAGTATGTGTAAAAAGAACATAAAATGTAGCGTCCTGATCAGGTGGCACTGATAGTTAAGGACTTGGCGTGCAAAAGGGAAATCAGCTGAGCTGAGAGCATGCATGCTGACATTTCAACATGGTTGAAAGTTTTAGGTACATGTAGAAGTAGAACGGAAATAATTCTATGAGACTAGGACGGAACGTAAAATGTTGTGTGTGTATATAGATAGATATAGATGAGAGATTGACAGGAATGGTGAAAAGTGAATAGTGAAGAGCAGTGGCAGGTAGTGTACAGAGGGACTTTTTTGTGCAATGAAGTGTTTACTTGAATCGTAAGGCTTGGGATGTACAAGCAGATACTTATGTCATCCACACACACACACACACACACTACATCTCACACTCATACATTCACAGGCAGTGTCCGTACGTTGGGAAAGAGTAAAGAAGCTTCCTGCAAAAAGGAAAGCCTTACTTTCTGAGATTCACCAAGTACTCACAGTACTTCACAATTTGACTTCTCCCCAGTTTTTCCTTTTGTCAATTCAAATTCTTCCCAATCCTCAGATTCTAGCTGGCTTCAATTTACCAACTTAAATTATTGTATTAATATTTAAAAATAAAATTATTAATTTAAGATAATCCAAACAGTGTGAGCGTGGCCGTGGCCTGTGTGAGTTGATGTGAGAAAAAGGTATAAAAGGTGTCGTAAAACTCAACAACATAAAGTTTTTGGATGGGAATGTATAATATTAATTTCACCTCAGTTTCAAATCCTTTTAGAAAGAATATTTTTCGTCACTTATAAAATGTAAAACATAAAGCATTTTATGTTACTATTGCTTCATAATTTAAAATATAAAGTTATATCTCATTGTGAAACTAATGATTTTTTTATCGCATTCAAGTAATCTATGTAGAATAAAAAAATTGGAAATAAGAATAACAAGCGATGATTTGGAATCCTGGCTTTTGCAGTTTTGCCAACTTTCTGTGAGCAGGCAAATCATCCCCTCCAATCTGCGTCAAGTGGCTATCACACAGCGACGCATCCACACACATACCACACACTCACACGCGTGTTATGGTTTCGCTTTCGCAACTGCAGATTTTACTTTACATAACAAGATAAGTGAAGTGCTATGATCATATGAAAAACTGAAAAGTGGTTCTTTTTTTGGGGGTCATTTGATAGGGCAAGATTCTACGAGATTAAAGCTAACAGTAGTGGGTCCAGCGTCACCAAAATATGCACACAACACTTGGCCCAACAGTCAAGGGGATTGGGCATCCGAAATTCTAATACAAGCCCAATGAGCAATGGTTGTGTGTTCATTCAATGGCAATGGTCATGTGATGTGAAATTATTCAGATTTCATTTTTTTTTATTTTTCAAGTAATAGTTTTTTAAAATTGAAAATTATAAAATAATTTTATTATATAATTTTCATTTGTCAAGATAAAAAAAATGAAGATATAGTGATGAAATACAATTAAATCTGTTCCATCTAAATTGAATTTGCATAGTCGAAATTCATGACAATGATTTGTAGACACTAAAACTAAACATGGTCAGGATACCAGAACCAGGTCATCAACTATTCGTAGGATGGCAAGAGTTTTTTTTTTTTTGCCCCCATAAAAAAAAAAAAAGAAAAGTGTCAATAGTAGTTTATATGTAAGAGGGGTAAAGTTTTTTACAACATGGTGCTTACATCTAACGAAACAATGCGCGGATTCTTTGAAATGATGGGGAAACGATTTTTTTTTTAATAAAAAAAAGCAGATGTTGCTGGGGAATCCTTGATGCCACATTTGGTACAATGAAAGAGTAGCTGAAAAAAGAGGTGGTGAAAATAGAGCTAGAGGAAGAAATGGAAATGGGGTTTGTCATGTCTATCGAAATCTATATAAATTTTAATTGATATGCATATTTATGAAAGTATCAAAATGCCCCTTACCAAGTTAGAAAAGAAAAGAAAAGAAAAATTTCCTCGCTTTCACGAGCCTCGCATTTTTTTTCTGGAAAATGGCTTCACATTTTCCCTTCTCTTGGCGTTCTATTAATAAGCCTCCCGATAGCTTGCAATCTCTTTTTACTCTAATTTTGTTAATGGGCCACACTATTATGGAACTCAGTTATCGAAAACTTGATGGAATTGGCTTCCATGCTGTATGAACCACTGGTTTAAAGTTCCCTGGAAGTGAGTTTTTCTGACCATTAAGCCCTCAGTAATTTTATCAATCGACAAATTTTGCCCTTCCAGACTATTAACCCTCTTTTCCCGATGGCCTGGCCTCCCTCACTGTTGTGACCCATGTCTACCCCTGCGGCGCATCCACCTCCACCTTCTTCGATCATCTCAGCTTCCTACTCCACCCTCGTCGATGAACACGACTTCGTTTGCCGGTCTCGAGAAAGAAAAGCTCAGCCTCTTTACCTGCGTTGTTGATTGTTTTCTGTTTGGGGTTTTGATTATCTGTGCCTACATTCATTATTTTCGATTTGAGATCTTGATTATTTGTGCCTAGATTATTGTTTTCCATCTGGGGCTTCGATTCTTGATTGATTGTTGTGTCGTGCCTACTGGTTAATCGTTGATTCAAATGCAAGTTTCAGTCCCCTCGCAAGGCACTGAAAAAGTAATACCAGCAGAGACTGAGGATGAGGGAGTGGTAGTGAGGCCAGCTGACGGTGATTCCGCTCCATTTTGACGGTGGTTCATTTACAAGACTAGGAACAGGGAATAATGCTTTATTGACTTGATTCCACTTCATTTTTTCGTTTTCGATTATTGCATGGGGATTTATTGACTGCTTTACTGACTCGTTTTCAATTTTCGGGTTTGATGGTGGTATCCCTCCAGTCGCCAAGCAGGATCTTAGGTTCGGGGCAACAACGGAGTTAGAATTCTCTGTAAAAAAAAATATATTTTTATTTCTTTTAAATTAATTATTTTTTTTCTTTATTCTTTATCCAACTTTTAATTATAAATTTTTAATTGCAGCGAGTTAGCAAAAACATTTATCAATTTATTCTTGAGTTTTGAATTTTCATTATTTATTATTTTATCTTTTTTTTTAACTAATCCATAAATAGTGTTCAGGGTAAGGAACAAGTCTATTTTAGTCATATTAATTTTTTTTATTTTTTAAATAATTAATAAATAATATTGATATTTAGGTATAGTAAAATTGTAAGTTAATATTTATGAAGTTAAGTTAAAATTTGAATAGATCTAAGTTAAAAAATAAGATTGAAATGAGTTTAAATTTAAAATATAAAAATAAAAAAATGTAAAATATAATAGGTAAAAGGTGTAAATTATAAAATATAAAAACTTATACTTTTAAACATGTTATTTTTTTAAGTAAGAGGGGCATCTGTCTCTCTTAATTACATGTGGCTCCGTGACTCTTATGTGTATATTAAATATGTTTTAAAATTTCATTTTCACTTCTTCCCCTGTTCCACCACCTCCTCTTCTTTCATTTGCACCAAAAGCTCTTCCAAGCTATCAAATGGAATATTAATTGTAGGGGATATTTTAATTTAGTAGAGGTCTAGAAAGACTGCATAACACCTAATTTTATTAAGAAAATATTGCATGTTATAGTAAGAATATTGGAACCAAAAGTCAGGAATGTAGTTATATATTTAACAAAATAACTAAATAAGCTGCGTAAGGGATTATATAATTGTGTAATATTAATTACAAAATTGTTGAAAATTGCTTTTACAATTTTATTGGTTAAGTAATTATTATACAATTTCGATTGTAATTTTTTATTTTTTGAAGATTACAAAGGCAAGCAAGAGCTTGAGAGACTAAAAACTAAGAACCTAACCTAAAAACCAATAAAAGAAAATAAAAAACACAGTAACTAGCATGTTACTTATCTTTGTACTCCTTTTTTTTAAATAAAAAGTTTTTTTAAGAAGTTGAATATTAAAAAATGTAAGACATTTTTAGTCTTTTAAGATATAATTATTGTATTTTTTTTTTTCAAATTAGCCCTATTAATAAATATTTTATATTTATTATAGGTGTTTAATGAGGGTAATATATGAAAAAATACAATTAATTTGAAAGCAGTTAACTACTTTATTGAGAAGTAAAATTCAATTAAAAATGTCTTATATTTTAAAATTTTGAAACAAAGGGTATTATTTTTTATGCACAGAATGTCAATCAATACTTTATAAATTACAATAATGAAGTTATCTTATTTTTTAAAATTCTTATCAGTTTAATAATAGAATATTAGACATGACATCTTTTTTTCCCTTTAGTGTTGTGAAATACTTATGCTTCCATGCATTTTTCTAAGACTAGTCAATAATTTTTAAATTATGTTCTGTTTAAATTAAAGGAAAGAGAGACAGGCATGAAATTTTTCTTGTTTGATGAGATTTACAAGAATAGCTTTCATTCCTTCTCTAATTACTTCAATCTTATTCTTTACAATCACTTCTTTTCTTTTCTTTTCTTTTTTTTTTTTTGCCATAATCTTTACAACATTCCAAAGCAACTAATTCCATGCTTTAATACATGCTTTTTTTCAGTCAATGTTTTAATAAATGTTTTCATCTCCATATAATCTCATTTCTTAACTTTTTTAAATGTACATACATATAAAAGACTGGTCAAAGATTGCTAAAGAAATAGATTATACATTGGATGTAATATAACAGACGACATTTTATTAAACAAGAAATTGCCATGAAGGTATACCGATCGAATTTTCTAGTTATAGAAAAACCTGGTTGAGCCTTGTTGCTTGACCAAACTAGAGACGCAAAAAATTGCTCGATATAGCTGCTTCCTGGTCAAGTGAAAAGCTAGCCAGCTGCTCCCAGGCGATCACTTGTTCAACGAAAACACTGAACAGTGAACACACTAAGAGACTCCTGCTTAAACCAGCATCACGAACACAAACACACCATATAAAGGGTGGGCGAGCAAATCTCATCCTATCCTGATAACCAAAATACTTGTCGGATTCAAACTCAACTTATAGAATGACATGATCCTTCTCCATTACAAACTGGACATAAAAGCTGACAGGAAAGTGTAAGCTAGGGGAATGATAAAAGCCGAAAACCAATTCAATGTGCTTACACTATTATTTTCATTTTACCATAACCATCCTGTGAACAAAGCCGGTAAGCAAGATAATTGACTCAGACTATGAAAGAACACTAAATCCTTGGCGCCAATGGTGTAAAAAAAGCTCCAAACGAGTGCAATAAGAAGCTCGCGCTTCTTAGTATTTGTAGTCCTTGACATGGAGAGACTCTGCAGCACCCTCACCAAGCTGGGCATCACCCTTGTAAGTTCCCAGAGTTGCCTCTGAGTTAGCCTTACATCTTGTGAGGAGTGCACCCTGGGCCTTGGGAACGTTCTCATCCTTACCTGCCCAGGCTTTGAGAGTGCTCTGCTGGAGTGCCCTTCCAAAAGAGAAGGAAAGAGACCACGGTTTCTTCTTCCCCTTGAGCTTGTTCATGGCATTCAGGTTGAGGGTTGCCTCCTCCTCACTCTGACCACCAGACAAGAAAAATAGCAGGAACTGCAGCAGGAACAGTCCCTCTGCAAAGCTCTAACAGTGAACTCAGCAATAACCTCTGGAGCCACCTTTGGGGCATCTGATCCGGGGTCACCATGTTGGGCTTCAATAGAGTACCCTCTAGCAGCACATGGTGATCATTTAGAGCCTTGTAGACAGCTGCAAGAACTCGCTCAGTCACTGCAGCACACTTGTTAATGTCATGAGGTCCATCCACCAAGATCTCAGGCTCCACAATGGGAACCAGGCCGTTCTCCTGGCATATGACAGCATAGCGAGCCAAGCCATATGCATTTTCATGGATAGCTAGCTCAGATGGTTCATTTGGACCAATTTTGAGCACAGCACGCCATTTGGCAAATCGTGCACCAGCTTCATAATACTTCTGGCAGCGCTGAGCAAGACCATCCAAACCTTGAGTTGTGGTTTCATCATTCGTTCCAGCAAGCTCAACTGTACCCTTGTCAACCTTAATACCAGGGAGAACTCCACCTTCCTTCAACACATCCACGAAGGGTTTTCCTACACGAATTAACATTCAACACCTACCCTGAGCCGAACATCATGGATGAATCATAGCATAAAGGTACAGAAAACAGTCACGTAGAAAAATCTGAGAATATCAAGTCAGATAGCTCTCAATGAGTACATGATAAAGGTGAAAACAAGTCATGTTGATCTTCCTTGTATGAAATGATTAAAATAGCATTACAATGTATTAATCAGATATCATAATTAAAAAAACACAATACCTGAAGCTGTCTTTTGGTATAGAGTTTCCTCAAACAAGATCACACCACTAAGGTACTGGAGGGCACCAGGAGCGGTGAAGAGGAGCTCACGAAGGGCACGCCTGTTTGTTTCAACATTCTCAACGTTAATGCTGGCAAGACGTTTGCCAATTGTACCAGTAGATTCATCAGCAGCGAGAATACCCTTTCCCGGCGTGCCAATATAAGCAGCATTGGCAATGAGTTCATCTGCAGTCAATGCCAAATTCATTAGAACAGGACTGAGAAATCCGGCAAAATTATAATCAACAGTTGATGCACGGCATTATGAAACACTACGAGCTTAATACAACTTAAAACGAATCAACACGATACAGTAGGGGTAACCTCATCCATGATCGGGAAGTCAGATAGCTCTCAATGAGTACATGATAAAGGTGTGAAAAAAACAAGTCATTTTGATCTTCCTTGTATGAAATGAGTAAAATAGCATTACAATGGTATTAATCAGATATCACATTAAAAAACAACAATACCTGAAGCTGTCCTTTTGGTATAGAGTTTTTTCCTCAAACAGAGATCACACAACTAAGAAGTGGAGGGCACCAGGAGCGGTGAAGAGGAGCTCACGAAGGGCACGCCTGTTTGTTTTCAATTTCAACATTCTCAACGTTAATGCTGGCAAGACGTTTGCCAATTGTACCAGTAGATTCATCAGCAGCGAGAATACCCTTTCCCGGCGTGCCAATATAAGCAGCATTGGCAATGAGTTCATCTGCAGTCAATGCCAAATTCATTAGAACAGGACTGAGAAATCCGGCAAAATTATAATCAACAGTTTGCACGGCATTATGAAACACTACGAGCTTAATACAACTTAAAACGAATCAACACGATACAGTAGGGGTAATCTCATCCATGATCGGGCAACCCCTATCGGAGTGGTTATAAACAGAGAGGGCAAGGATAACTTTAGTTCCGGCAATTGCATATGCCAGCAGGAACGAAACAGGGAGAAATCTCGCTTAAGATAAGTTGGATCTGATGTGTTCATATTCACACACAAACCCGACCAAAGGCAGATCCCAATTGAATGCCAGAAGCGGAGGAAGATAAGCATTTCAGAGCATTATTGATTGCGACGGCTGTAAACTTCTGAAGGTAATGAAATACGAAAATCCCATCCAAGGAAGACACAACAGGGTACAGGGTTTAACTTCTCCGTCGGGAAAAGTTGCGAAACACAGATCTGGATCAAGGATGCAGATCCGGATGAATAGATCACTTATTGTCCGCAGTCGATGATCGAGGCACGGACGAGAGGACGATAGAAAAGAGAACAGTGGCAGAGCAAGAAAGATCACTTGTTTTACTGTCCGAACGAGAAGACGTGAGAAGGACTGGGGAAGAAGCGCTTAAAAGCCGCACTGCTGGGGTCAGGACAGGATGATCGCAGAGCCAGTGTAAAGAAACAAAAATGGGCTCGGGAAGAAAAGCTATTAGAGGAATATAATCAGAATCCAGAGGCAAGGAAAGAGGGTCGAAGGAAGAGACAAAAGATACCTTGGTATTTGCTGACGAAGGAAGACATGGCGGGAGGCGGGAGGCGGCGGCGGGAGCGGAGAAGAAACGAAAATGAGAAGGAGAAGACGAACTGGTGGGGAAGTGAGGAGAAAGCTGGGGATTTATTCAGAGAGGGGGGGTGGAAAGGGGGGTTTAGGTCACAAGGCATCCTCTTTTGAATGACTATTTTACCCTTAGCCTGGTCACTTAATTTATTTTGAGTAATCATTTAATTTAGGGACCTCTGGGTTGTTAGCGGATGGAGAGCCCATCTCGGTCAGCGCCAGATGTGAACGAAATTGCCCGGCTTGAATAATTGGTCATAAATTAAAATTAAATTATTTTACGATATAATCGTGTGGGGGCGACGGTGTGAGGGGAGATGGGGAATTAAGGAAGAAGGAAGGGCATATGGGTATTTGGATGGGGATAGTTGAGTCAAAAACCAAGGGAAAACCGGGGGAGGGTTAGGCTTCCCAGCCCCCTGGTTCCTCTACCCCAACTGTCCTCCAACCTTTCTTTCTGGTTCCTCGTCGCCCACAAAACCCCTCCTTCCCTTCTCCCTTGGGAAAAGATTGACGTTGCGTGCTGTCGCAACCAGTAAACAACCACCGCACCCAAGTGGGATTCCGTGCTTCTTCTCCTCCTCCCTTTCTTTGTCTTCGATCTTTCAAATTTAATTTAATTTAATTTTGTTCTTTCATTTTTATTCTATTATGGACACGAGAGATGCCTGCTTCTAATTATTCCTCTTTTATATGATCTATTTCTCCTTTATTTTATGCTACCCCTCTTTGCATGTCTATTAGATTAGAGGATGCATTGTATTTCTTTTATTATTCTGGCGTTATTGACAAGGGCCCCGGCAAATAAAGAAAATGCGGTCCCCAGTGCGTGAGTCCTTGGCCCCTCATGCGTCTCAGATCAGCATTTCCATTATTCATCTCCCACCATTGCGTTGCGCTCACTTCCCCATTCCTCATTCTCCCATTCTCCTTCTCAAATAACATCCTTGCCCAGCTTAAAAAGCCTGACACCATTGTGTGAGGATAGGATGGTTGGTTCGCACCCTCATTACTGATATGATGAATAAATTGGGCTTAGGCCCCGTATTACACCAAAAACCAAAACCCAAAAAAAAAAGAAAGAAAAGAAAGAGGCGACGACAGCGAACTAAGCGCGCACCCCACGTAGCGAGTCAACCATAAGTTACAACTGCTTGAGGACATGACCACGACAGGAGACGAGGGGGATTCAATCAGGCTATTATATAATTTTTTTCCCACCTGAGCGCAAACTGCAAAACAACCCACCAAACCTGAAATGAGGCTAGAGAGAGAAAGAGGCATGGATCGTCAAACTGTTCAACGAAAATTCAACATCTTGCACTTGCAACCTCACCTAGCACGCCTCATATTATGTGTAATATATACTGATGGACCCACCGTCAACGCTCCTCCCTATATGAGAATCATTTTCCTAACATAATTTTCAATTAGCTTGAATGCCCAGAAAATATACAGTGTGTTGTGTGTGTTACGAACTGACTAGAAAACCTGAAATGTGGTTATAGAGATAAAGGGGCGGGGATCAGATTGTCCAATTCAAATAAATAAATAAAAGAAAATCTTGGAACCTTACAAGCATGCTTGAACACACGCGGAGATATTATTTTTTATATATATATATATATATGTATGTATATGTACATATATTCCAAAAGCCCAAACAGATTTCTCGTACTCATACCCTTAATGTTCACCCGAACAGATTTCTCGTACTCATACCCTTAATGTTCACCCGCAGTCAACAGTCTAATGGAGTTATTTTCTAACATAATTCTCAGTGCGTTGAATGTTCAAAATTTTTATTTATTTATTTATTCGAGCAACGAGGAAATTCGAGAATCATATAAAAAACAACCTCGGACTAAAACACCTACCAACTCAGGAAAGTGTATCAAAGAAACAAAAGAAAACCTGGCAATTCTACCTGCTAGATAATCTGGCAAGCCATTGGCTCTGGCTACATGCTCAGACACGGGAAGGGCTTCAATCACCAGCTCGTATGTTGGAGAAGAGTCTCGTGTTTCTGCTTTCTCGCCTCTCGCAGCTTCCAACACTTGATTCAAAAGGTAATCGTCCATCTCATACATCTACAGCCAGGATAGATACTTGCTGTTACCCATTCATCAAAACTCAAGAAGGTCTAAGATAACATACGAGGGGCGACATGTGGCTTGGGATGACTTGGCCTGCATGAAGAATTGAAAATTTGGAGATGAGATAAAGGGTAGAGAATCGAGAGTGACATTTGAAAATCGGAACCCATCAACAAGGCGAGGCTTGAGATATGTTTTATCCGGCTATCTTTATGCTTCGAATTCTAAGGAAAGACAAGTATGATTGTCATTGATTGAGGTAGAAAAAGTTTCTTTTCTTTTCTTTTTTTCTTTTTAACTCGTGCAGTAAAAGTTGACACTATACTCTTTTTTTAAAATTACTGCTTGACACGTAAGAACTGATGAATAATTATTACATGGGCGGTGTAGTATAAAATACACTTTTTCCACTTTCAATGCCTTTTTCCATCCCTGAACTAGACTGAGCCCAAGCATTTGGGAGCAAACATATTCGCATTTCCAATATGCAAGTGAGGGTTTCCTAATCTTCCTCCTCTCACACACTTTAGCACAATTTTTCCATGTGCCCTTTCTACTTCTAATACTCCGTTTAGCACATGCTCATAGATGTGTTGTTCTCCATAGTCGCGGCTATTAGTTTGCAACAAAAATGCCTCAATCAACGTATGTGATAACTGATAAACAGGTCCTAAAGTGATTTGCCATTTAATGGCACCAGATGAGGCTAAAGTGACACAATGTAAACCCTATTCAAAAAATAAATTCCAACATAAAAGGGCATCCCAATAATTACAAGTGACACAAATTTTATTATCAAGATTAATGAAGAATTGAGGGGAAAATATATACAGAAAACCCTATTTCAAAATTAGGCTATGAGAATATAAATTAGACCCTGATTTCAATCCAAATGAACGATTACAAGCAAAAGTCGAAAAAGGAATTGATCTAGATGATTGAAGGATTTTCTTGATTATGGAGTAAACATTGATGATCAAGAGGGATTCAAACTTCAATTTTAACAAAGCTCGCTTCAGACTGGACCAGCAAAGCTTTAGGTTTGAAGTTCCTTAACTTTTTATGGGAAAAAACAATTCTTTTTTTGGAAATGATAGAATATATATCTTTTTTTATAGGATTGGACCCTGAAGAACCCTAAGATAATAGAATTTTTCTCAACCTTCTTCTGTGTGGCTTTCTCTATTTTTCTTTTTTTTCTAGTGATCTTTATTATCGGAAGCTGATTATGGACTTGCATTGTAAAAAATTCTGATGAAGTAACATATGCTGAAGAAATGAGAATGATTTATCTAAGGAAAATGATTAAGCAACTCTAAGAAAATAAATACAAATTGATTTGTTCATAATTAAATTTTCAATATTTGTAATTTACAGTCAAACTTTTATATTACAATTGACTATTAATTTTATTGTTAATATTATTATAACATTCTTATTTGTTGTTCTTTCTATAATGAAACTGAATATGCTTTAAATATGGATGAATTTTTATACTTTTTCTGGTCTTAATATAAACTTAGTTAAGGGAATTTTTGTTTAAATTTTATTACTACAAATATTTTCTTATTATAAGCAATCATCTTTGAGACTGTTCATGTATTAAATACAAGTATATTTCTCAGTAAAAATTTAAACTTATTTATCATGTTTCGGGAAACTAATCGATATATGAAAAAACTATTTAGAAAGACTTGACCAACATATTTATTGTTAAAAGGACTTGGGACATTAACTCTTTGGCTATCAATAATTTCAAGAGGTAAATGACTTAAATGCCCTTAATAGTAATATATATATATATATATATAAAGAGAGAGAGCAGGATGAGCAATGTCCTTCGTTGTCAATATGTCACACAAAATTCTTCAGTAACAATTTATTGAGCATTAAAACACATAGACCCTTAATGTCAATATGTCACATAAGGTCCTTCAGTGTTAATATGTCTATACATAATGTATGCCTATGGAAGTTTTCTTGTATATAATGGAAGAGTCTTGCATATGATAGAAGAAACATTACATATTATGGAAAAAAAATAAAAATATCCATATGCAAATAATATTACATTTGATGAGAGAGTGTTGCATATTGTGGAAGAAATCTGCACTTGCAAAAGAGTGTTGCATATGTAGATATGTTGCGGCATAAGGTATGGCAAGCATACTTCAGTGGGCTTTGGAATTACACTGAGGCATAACGTTTTACATTATGGCATAAAATGTAGAAACTATGACAGTAATGTACTGTCATAGCAGATTTTTTGGCCAAATTTTCATCAGGCATCAGATCTTTATTTGATGTCCAACTAAGGTGAGTTAGGTGTCTATACAAAGCTCTTTCAAAACTCTAACTAATGGCACTAGTTTCATTTTCAAACTTTAACCCAATCACAAGTTGAACACTCACACGCAAACTAGAACATTTTCACTCTCAAACCATAACTAGGGGCTTAGACCACATTAATAGACTTAGGACAACTTATATAACATACCACAACGACTAGATATAACATATTTCACAAATTGTACTCTCAACTCCTTGATTTCAGAAATAGTAAGGGTACATCTTGACTTTAAAACTTAATATAATATAATACAAACATGTATATAAGTAAATTTATACTTGCATTAGTATTTTAATCTTGCTTAAATATATCAACTAAAAAGATACCACATGAACCAAGGTCCAAAATAAGTATTTCAATACCCAATATTCAATATCGCAAGTAACAACAAAATATGAACATCCTAGTTGATAGTATCAATTAACTTCACATAGGCATCTAAAATTACAAGAGGCCTACAATAGAAAATTGAGTTCCTAAACCTCTAGTGTTTTTCCTTTATTCTACTCAAAACTAATACTTGTAAAATGTTAAGTAAATGGGTAAGTACCACCACTTAGGAACCAAAATTAATATAACCTATATAAATGTATGTTAATTAATCATAGTGATGCAAATGGTATAATTAAATGAAACATATTCAGATATTGAACCATCCAATTCATATAATTACAAAGCTAACAATAACATAACATTAGATTACTTACATGAAAGGGTCACAACAATAACAATGATGTGCCCTTGCCTTCATAAGACATACGAGACCACAAAAATAATAACAATGTTGTCATATAATAATATGTATCAAAACACATATGGAGTCATGATACTAACAATCATGTGGCTGAGATATAATATGTATGATCAATGCCACAAATTTCTCACTTTCAATTCTCAAATTTCAATATTTTAATCACCTAAAACTCTTAAATCTTAAATTAATCACTACATTAGGTTTATTAACTTTCATTAGTTTCAACTAACTTTATTATACTTATCTACCACCATTAGTGGCTTCCAATAATCCAGACATTCATCACTATTGGCATTTTCATGCATAAATTTGTTCATAATTGAGAGTTCACTCTCAGATGCATAAAACCACTGTCTATAGGTTTAGATAACTCAAACAATTCTCACTAACTCTATTTAAGTCTACAGATTCAGACCTAAAGCTCCTAATATCTGAAAAACATCCTCTAACAATAAACCCTAACTTAAAAATGGTGTAGAGAGAAAGAAGAAGGAGAGGGAAGGCTTACTTTAGTAATTAAAAGCTCTAAATCTCCCAAAAATACCAACAAAATCATGCTCTAGTAGAGAGAATCACGAGCCACTTCATTTTTCTCTTTTTCTTTTCTATTTTCGCTCACATAGATACCCTTTTAAGTTAGATTCATGAAATTACGCTATAGTGTAAATGCATTATACTACAACATAATGAATAGTGGGACAAATCCTGATTTTCTATCTTTAATTTGAGTCCAAGTGACTCAATTCACTTCTAAACCCAATCCAATTACTAAAACCTAACTCAATAGGCTTATTAGTTATCTCTAACTATCCTCAAACTCATTTATACTTAAATTTATATAATTGCCCTTTAATAGCTTAGTTAATCAAAGGAATAATTTTTGAGATGTTACGCTCACATTTTAATCATGCTATCACAACAATGCAACATCACAATCATTTTTCTCAACATATTCACAATATCATTCAAAACCACACGTTTAAGATGGCTACCAACACTATGAACATTAAAAATCATTTTCACTACTATTTATGAGTAAGTATATGTGTGTGTACTTTCAAAACACTTCTACTTCACATGAATTTTATAAAAACAATGAACATGTTTTTATAATTAAAACTTGCATACCAAAATGAATGATTAATATTTCACAAGTCTGATAACCATCCAATCAGGCAAGTAAAAGGATTTGATCATCTAGTTATCTCAATCCTTTTATCACAAAAGAGTTATCCATGGCAAAATAATCACTCCTCTAGTCTCCACTAGCTTAAAAAGGTCTAAGCAATAATTAATCTACATGATTAAACACTAATAATTAATTTACAACTCGAATACACACACTCTCAAGCTGATATAAGTTATCCACACTTTTTAACTTTTATCGTTAGCTTAACCAATACTCCAGCAATAATTCATTTGACATCTATAAATTTAGACAACACTAAATTATGACCCACAATACTTCTAACTTTCATTTTGAGCTTAAAGTTCATCCAAACCCTAGCTCTCAACTCCAATTATCATAAAACCACTAATCCATTGGGGTTGGTCAAAACCCATTAAAGAATGAAAGAGGAAACCCACAACTCCCAAACTTTAGAAAATTCGCATAGAAAGGAAGGTGAAGGGATTAGTAAGCTTATCTAAATGTAAATCAAGCTTAGATTGCCTCTAAAAGGATTATAAGATGAAGCCCTCACAGACACGAGCCTTTCCTCAATCAACTCTCTCGTTTTCTCCCTTTTCCCTTTTAGCTGTCAAAAATGGACATGTGTCGTGGCGTGTTGCACAAAAAGCTATTGCATCATTTGGGCTCTCCACTTGGGCTCGACTAGACCAATACTCATCCCATCCTTCTCCCAATGCTACCTAAAGGTATAAATAACTCATTAATGTCTCGAAAAACCTATAGACTTTATTAATTTTATTACTTTACTAATTTACCTTTTTAGAATCCTAAAATTCCAAATTTAGAATGTGGGGATGTTACACCCACTTCTTGCTCTAAGTAGATAGGGGGTGTCATTGTACCATGTCCTGTTTAAATGACCAAAGTCTTCTTTGGGTTCTAGGAATTTTTTGCTAACATTCAAACGAAACATAGTTTGCAATGGCCTATTTTCAACATCAATAGACAAGTTAATGGAAACCAACTTAGCAAGCTTGAAAATCTCAAGCATAAGTATTATCTCAATCCCATTAAGAAAAGCATATGATCTATGGTGCCTCAAACATGTTGTGAAGGTTATGTTGAGTTTACCAAATTAGGTTGGCAAGAGAGAGTATTCTTTACTGAAATAGGCTTGTGTTGCAATAGAAGAACTAAAAATTGTGGAGGAGAGTGAGGTCATTTGCATGAACCGTAAAATAAACATTAAAGGGATCAAGGCTATGAGGGGTAAAAATGGAGTCAAAGCCAATGGCGAGATTCAAAAGAGACAAGGCAAAATGGCCACTATGTTAACTTGGTGGTAGTGGCGCCACCCTTATTAGTCTTCCTCAACCTAACACCTCTCATCTTTCTGCATTTGCTAAGGGAAACAACAAAGATGATAACTTCACCATCGATATCGTCTCTCAATGATGAATCAAGAAGAAAAGGGAAAATTGGGAGGGATTTAGGTGTAGGGTTGAAAGAAGAATTTGGAGAAAAAGGGAAGCAAGGGAGAATAAAACGTAGCTTGAAATGAACGACCATGTGCAAGGTCACAATTGACAACAAAGGAAGAGGTGGAGTTGTGTGTGAGGTATTGTGGTGTGGGCATTTTGATAATCTGACCATCAATCTTTATTCTTCTAAAGGATTTCAGTCCTTTAACAAATTTCAAGCCCTTTAACATAATAAATTTTTTGATCAGGTATTTATGAGTAATTTTTCCCTAATGCGTCTATCTCTTTTGTCTCCTTTTATAAATATTTTTTTCACATTACTTTCATTAATTTCACTGTTTCTTTTACTTTCTGTCTCTCACATTTAATACCTTCATTAAGAGAAAGTTATTTAAGAAAATTGACACATTTTTTAAATAATAATGAACAAATAAATAATTTAATCAATTTTTAATGTATGCGATATTATTAATTAAGTTTGTTTCATATTTAAGACCAGACTTAGGTATACAAGTTTTGTTCCGCACATAGCACATCAATTTGATGAAGCGAGAGCATTAGTAAATAACAAAAATACACCACCCGTCGATCCTAGTCCTCATCCCCTCGGCAAATGACAGTCATTCATAGCAAAATCCAAACATCACCCTTCCATAAATCAAAACATAAAATCATCATTTAATTTGAAAAACTTCCAATACACTGCAATTCTAACACACACAAAAGATGTTAATTTGTTCTCTAATAATTCGCCTTTTCAGACAATCAAAAATTTTGAACATCAATAATCAACAACTCGTCTATTTTTTTAACTTCAAGAAACTTTCACCCCATTTTCTAATAACTAATTCTGTAGAGGTTTCAAGTTAATTTTTGATTCATGAACCAATTGAATCGATCAGTTGGATCGGATTCTTTAAACTTTGCGAAGGATAGAGTTCCTAAGTTTGGAAGCTCAACAAAAGTCAAATCAACTATCGTAGAAATGGTCAATTAAGTTTCGAGAAAATTTTGTTTTGACCTGATTGATGCTTTGAGAATTAGAAACTGCAGGATAAATATTGATATGTCCAACCACTAAATTAGTTTCAGGTCCGATTCATGTCAATGGCTTTACAAATGAACTCGAATAAACTAAAGTGGACGACGATCACGTGCAAGGACAAGGAGGATTGTTTGAGCGTTACACCCAAAAATGTTGGTTTCACTGTGGATTGTGGAAGGAAGAGAAGCTCCAATATGCTCATAGAAGTCTCATAAAACCAAAATGCGAGGAAGTTGCTCAAAAAAGCCTCCGTGTGGGCAGCGCTGCTTCCCATTAACTAATTCTAGTTACAAAGGAATCTTACATGCAAAAGTATGGAAGAATAAATTTTACACTTCTTTCTTGAAAATTACAAGATTACCTAGGGGAAACAAAAGATGGAGCAAGGAATGCTTCACCTTGAAAATCAGTATTAATCAGAATTAGAACAAAAATATGCATCTCGGACTCTGTAGCTGCAACCAAGAAAAAACGTGACCGTTAGTTACCACAACAATCTGGTAAACCATGTCTCCACTAATTAATAGGCATTCCCCTCTTGTCTGCCACAGAAAACCAAATCCGGGCCAAGTTCATTGATTTTAAAGGGCCATTTTGGAAATTTGGTACGCACCTGAGATTTCTAAGAACGAGGTTTCCTGTTTGACAAAGATCACATAAAAATCCTGTGGTATGTGCATAAAGAACAATTCAGAGTTCCACCAATCAGGTAAGTAAGGGCATGTTTGGACGCGCAGGTTGAGGTGCAGGAGGTTTGATCAATGATCTTAAAGAATCCATTATACTTGAAAAAGCAGGACGTTTCCAGGGCTCGCTGCAGAAAACCATGTCAAAAAATAAATTGACAACCGAATATTAAAGCAGAATGGACGTGATGGTTGACGTTGCTGAACTCACCTGGCCCAGCAAGCCTCAATTATTGCAGTTACTTGGGGATTCAAATCACGTGGAATCTCAGGCCTTTTGCCCTTAAAGCCAACGGCTGCCACAACCTACAACACAGGATTAGTGAAAGATTAAATTGATACAAATGCCCCTTCACAGATATATGAGTAATTGTCCAGAGATTAAAACGGAAAGATACAAACAAATCAAGATTGTTAAGATCGTCATGAAAAAGGACAAGCACCAAAACCAATACTAACAGTATCTTAAACAATATGCTTGTTATAGTTAGCCTGTTCGATACATGTTTCAACCAAGACCTATTACAACAATCAGACTCCTACCGCCATTCACGAACAACATGCTTCTTGACACAATGTATTTTACAATTACTGGATTCATATACCATCACTTTTCATTAAATCCAGAGAACTCTTGACAGAAGAGAAAAGCAAGGCATATACATTAATTTCAAGTCATTTTTACGCATCAAACCTGTGCAGGATTCAAATTACTCCACGGCTGTTGCAATGTTGTTAGCTCCCACAAGATTACACCAAAACTGTAAACATCTGACTTCTCATTGGATGGCTCATCTCGTAGAACTTCTGGGGCCATCCACTCAGGCTAAGGAATAGAAAATTTGAATGAACGATAATTAAAAGAATGAAGTTATTTCATGGGAAATAATACTGAAAGAAATAAGTAAATATAACTTACAGTCCCCGCAGCAGACTTGGATGAAAGAAATGTATTTGCCTTGAGACGTGAAAGGCCAAAATCACAAACCTAAAGGTAAAAGAAAAAAATGTCAGCCAGCATTTTACTTTATTTTTTTAAAAAAGGAACATCATAGTCCACGATAACAAACACTCAGTCCTTCCCCATAAAAACTAAATGAAAAATAGATCATGTAACCATAACACCGTTGACTATACATATAGTTTATATTAACATCAAATTTTAGCAATTTTGATTCATGAAAGTATACAATGTTCTTCAATACCCTTCAATCTCCCACTAGTTCAGATAGTTCAAAATTTCTGGTTTAAAACAAATCATTAAGACAATGGAGCAGGTAAAGACAGTTATCAGCAAGCATTTCAAGAATATTCAATCAAACTGGCAATTTACATGTTTATCTTAACTTTACAGACAAGACTGCAATTGCTGTCAAGTGTCATCTAGTCATTTAAGAAACAAGTAAACAGTACCATTTAACATTAACAGCCTAGAAATTTAACAGGCTGCCATGAAACTGTCACACAAGGCTAGAACAGACAAGAACAAATTTTAAAAGACTTCATATAGGCTTGAAAAAGGAAGGAAATTTGAGAGAGCTGGAAGTATATGTCAATGGTGACTAACATTTTACATGAAATTCAAAGATCATGGATATGCTTGACCTGTCCTCATTCCTACCTTCACAGTATATTTCTTGTCTACAAGAAGGTTTGGAGACTTTAGATCTCTATGAACAATGGGAGGATTGCGTTTGTGAAGATAATTCATTCCTTTTGCCTATACATGAAAAATGAAAAATAGTGCAAAAGATTTACGGGTGATTATATTGCTACAGTACAAGAAAAAGAGAAATAGTAATTTTGATTTTTAATATGCACACCACATCATAAGCCATGCTCAATCTACGTCTCTCATCCAACATCTCTCTGGCACCAGGTTTGTGTAACAGCCTGTATAAGCTACCCCTGCATTTAGTTCAATCAACACCTCTTAGGAAGGATCTCTATCTTATGGTCCATCAAACAAAGAGTGGAAAAGGATATTGCATAAAACCTAGATAAATATTCCGTGACAATTGATAAGTTCGGAGGCTGAGTAACTGCACCCATAAATAAAACAATATTTGGATGCCGCAAGCGTTTCATTATTGCAACCTAGCAAAGGAAAAGAAGACACAGCTCAAATTAACAGCAAGTAAAACCTGTAGTACAGAAGGTGTTTCCTCTGCAGAAAACAAATTAACAGCTTAAGGTCATACCTCTCTCAGAAACTCCTTGAATCTTTCAGCATGAAAATCTTGTTCCATTAAAATTTTAACAGCAACATCCTGGAGTAAATAATATTTTAGAGTTCATATGAAAAACAAACTGAGAACATGAGCAACAAAACATAGAGAGGAGAGAGTAGGACTGGGAAAGATATCAATGAAGACATAAGTACTAATTATGCTTTACACTTCAATGAAACAATCCTGAAGGGGTATCACAACCTCCGGGAAGATCTATGAGACCCAAAAAAATGAATTCACAATCAGAATACCAATAAAGTTCAATTGTGGGGAGGGGGAATTAAAAGGCCAGAGGACAGAACCCTTTCTCTCAATAAAAAGTATCAAAATAAAAATAAACCATTTTGCAGCATTAAGGCTTCTAATATCTTCAAGAACTTTTATTTTCTTGAAACAATATGTTTTCATTTAAACTTCTGTTAGTTTGATGGGCGATTGAATTAGAAACCTATACATGCCAACACATCCTGTCACAGGAAATGGCACATGGGAACTCAATTACTTTCTTCGAACAAAACTGCAAAAAGATCTTGACACAAAAATATGGTAACTTTTGGAATTAGTAAAACAGCAAATAAATGAGTTGCATACCGAGCCATTCCACTCAGCTCGATGTACTGTTCCAAAGGAACCTGAAAATGCACCAGTCCATTTCAGTTAATGAATAAAAAAAAGTTATTCACTCAAATAATGCCAAATGGAAAATGAGAATGGGTTGTTTAAATTTCATCATATAGGTATTAATGCAAGGCTAAAAAAATGTGAAATTGATAACTAGAGGAATACCCGATCCTATTCTCTCTTTTAAAACAAGATCACTCCAAGGTATGTCAAGATCCTCCATATCAAGGCCAAGCTCCCTACAGGTTTTGCTAACAAACAGTTGACTTCCTTCAGCAAAACTCCTACACTCGGTAGCATCAACATTTGAATTTGTCAGTGTTATAGGAGTAGGCAGTAGATCCTTGCCCATGGGTGTAGAATCTACATTCTGAGGAGAGTTGCATGATGCAAATGTTTCAGAACTCTGATCATGAGTTCTCAAATGAGAAACTTCTGAATGCAGAGACTGGCAAGGAGTTTTGTTGCTATCATTTGAATTTGACCTAACATTATTTCCGCCTCTGCCCTTCCCATTAAACTGTTCTGGAATGGAGAATCCAGAGTTCCCATCAGCAATAGCTCCTCTAATATCAAATTCAGTGTATTGTATACTAGCACCATTTTTCAAATACAATAATAATCAGAGAGACATAAGAGCAAGCCAATTCATCCAAGCACACACAAACTATAAGTAATGCCTAAATATCCTACAAGTAGACTAAGAATATCACCTGCAGAATCATTGTCAAAGACAAGCTCAAGAGACACACAATCTGAAAAATACTCTTTGGCCAATGACCTGAAATCAATGGTAGGTTCAGCTGGTTTAAGTCTTGGAAAGCTCAAGGGTGAAGAAAATGAGATGGAGGATGGACCATTGAGCAAGGAATCAGGCTCGCATAAATAACCTGGCTTCCCAATTAAATCAACCAGATATTCCCTGCCATTATATATCAGATGTGAGGCGACAGCAATATGACAACAAGGTGACTCAATTCATAATGTCAATACATGAACGTTCCAGCATGTTAACCACCAAATTTTTGCTCTTCAGCAGCCAAAGACCATGGAATCCAATTCCCTAAATTATAACACTAATTGTAAATATTAATGCAAACATAATTATTGAACAACATACACCTTTCAAACCCAAATTGGACAAGACAAGAGGAAGCATCATCTCTGAACAATATTTACAGCCTTTAGCAATTCGACAGGGCAAATCAATGGAGTCAGCTAGCACCTACAGACATCATAAATGAAGCATGCCGTCTCAAAAACATTATAAACACTGAAGTAGATATACACAAGTAAAGCCTCAAACAACCCAAAGATTGAGAACCTTACTTTGAACAGTACAGCACGATGCCTGCAGAGGCCAACAGACAGACTACTTAAAGGAACAACAACAGATCCCAAGCAATCTTTAAGATCATTACTGCACGCCCTCCAGATGAAAATAAAGTCATCTTCCCCAACAGAAGCTGAACCCCTTGTTAAAGCAATAAAACACAGTCAAGAGTGTCATTACCAGACCAAGCTTGTAGTGAAAGCAATCAATACCAAGGAGACTCACCCCATACGGTTGCAAACCAACTTGGCAAGATGGTCTACAACCTCTGTTGTGGTTATGCAGCTACAAGAAATGCTACGTACTCTGTTTTGCAGCTCCTTTAAGCTAGGATCACTACGTTGATCCACCAAAACTACTTCAAGTGAAGAATCATTGCAGGGATCTACAGACTTTAGCGATTCAACTGATGGTATTCGGCCATTTTCCTGTAGATCAGTACACACAGTCCACACGTAAGGATCCATCCCATGGACAAGGTAGAAGCCATCTGGAATCTTGTCGGAGTAAGATAGGCAGCCATTGACCTGGCGCATATCATTAATAAGACACGGTATTGACACACACATATATATTAATACATAAAACAAAGCTAATGAGATGAGACTGCTTCCAATTCCTACCTAACCTTACTGTAAAGCTAAGGAATTTTGGAAAAAAATGGAAGAGGCAGGTAAGGGAAGCTTATCCTGTTGATTTAAATTTGTTCAACAACTTGCCAAGCAGACTGTAAGTTCATCTCTCGAGAACAGATAATCATAACGTACTTTAAGTCTCTTATTCTATTAGATATACTCAATTATGACCTCTTAATGGTAACTTTCCTCTTAGAACCCAAGGCAGATTCTGTTCACCCGCAATAATAACTCAATAATAAATCAACAGTTTCAAAAAAAATTTTACACAAAAATGGTGGGTACATTCTACTTTATAAAACTATTAAGCAGTCCAAAGATGAGGAAGGCACATCTTTATGATAAAGGAAAAACAAATTTCACCTAAAAAATGAGTCATTAAATCATAAAGGTCATGAAGTTAAGTGTGAAGAACAAATTAAAAGGATCCTCTGCCCACACTGAACAAATTCAGTACATATTCAATCCAAATCAAAAGTGAAAAGCTAGTTAGAAGATGTTTTTGTGCTGTCAGAGGCGTGACAGAGGAAACTTGACTGGCTTTCTCATATAGTGTTATAGGCGAAAGCCTGCCAATCCAATCAACGTTCTAAATTCAAGTCAAAGTCCATCCATAACAACCACAGAAACACAACATAATAGGATTTTTTTTGGGAAAAGAACAATAAGGATTTGTGCTAATGCAACATGCACATATTCAAGTCGAACTAAAGATCCTCCCATCACTCATTGGTACATTTTATGAAAAGATATAGATCATAGTCAACAATTGAAGCTTCAGATGACACGGTTATATAGCATTTAATCTGGCCAATAAATCAGTCGTTGATAGGTACCGTCAACCTAGTCATGCTATTGACAACCACAGCCATCGTGTGCTATTGTCCATTCATATGCTTTCGCATGTCCTTTAGTTATTAGTCAAGGCTCGGTTCATGATACAGCATGTTATGAAAAGTTGCGAACACAATCTCTTTCGCGCCTGAATTACCAATTATAATGCGAATAACGTAGTACATAACGCAGGAAAAGGGCAAAATCAACCTACCCAGAATCGATGTGACACTGCCTCTGCCGAATTTGACGATGACAACCTTAAAGTAGATTCATCTGGTAATGGATCCAGAAAATTCGGATCATCAGCGCATGTTGCCTCGGATGAGAGCCTAAGTGCCAAAGCCTGCTGCAATTGATAACTTTCCTCCGTCTGCTGCGCCCAGCTTTTACCCAACGACAACCCTCCCATACTCACCGTAGTCTCCACTAACTTGTTCCGTAGCTCGCCTCCAACACCAGCACCACTGCCAACCTTGAAACCATCGTCATGCATATAACCAAAGGTATCGATCTCATTCACAGCCGTCGCGGACAGAGTCGGAGCATAATACTCTCCGGATAGCGAGCTTTCACCAAAACTGCTACCACTAGACTGCCTCTGCAACCCGATCGATGAGTATAAATTACCGATCCGATTCCCCTGCTGAGGGACCCTCTGATCAGCAACCGAATCCCAATCATATCCTCTGTCAAGCTTGCCTTTATTGTTCTTGCCGTCCCCCGATGAAGAATCAAATAAAGAAGTGGGACCAGTAGTAGCTGCGGACAAGGCTGCATCGCCACCGAACTCTTCATCAGGAATTTGGTTCAGGAGGGTGTAGTTGGATCTCTTGGCAGGCATTTCCATGGAAACAGTTTGTATCCACTGTTCACAAAACCCTAAAACTCGCCATTTGCTGAGTAACGTCTCTCCCCGGGACCAGGTGACTGCGGATCCTTCTTGGCCCTCTCTCCAGAATTCGATAGCAGAGGAGAGGAAAAATGAAAGGAGACGGAGCTTTTATTAGGTGGCGCAATCGTAACATTCCTTTCAACTATTTTTTAGCGGCTTGGTCACTTTTTCAATGCTGTGGGCAAACCAGCATTGGGTTCACACGCGGGATCATCCGGTCACCCTTTTCTCCGTGCAGAGTATGAGGGCATAGGCATACCCTCCCTTAACCCTTCGCACGAACCGCCCCAACATTTTAATTTCACAGGCTGATCTTGCGCGAAGAGTATTTAATTATTGACATTGTTTACCGAACCTGCCTCTAATTAATTATTGACAGGATTTTTATGAGTGAATATGATATCGCAATTTGGCCGTTTTGTGTGATTAAAATTTTAACATGGCAAGTGAAGGTTGTGTATTCTTCTAGTTTTCATCCATCTGCCGTTTCACTGGCGTATTCTTTTGGAGTTGAATGGACTGTGTGGAAAGGTCGATGGCCGTGTTTTGCAGGGAAAACGCATGGGACAATTTACTGAGCAGCGTGTGGTGAAGTTGTTGGCGCCTCTTGGAGGTTGGCATTTGCAAATGGGGGAAATGCAAGGGGATGCAGCTGAAATTAATTGGTTAAAAGGTCCATGAGGCGCGTGCCGGCAAGTTCCAGTCAACCGCGCCGTGGACTATTCGGAGGTGTCGCCGTCAGATGCCGTCATGCTGCATTGCCAACAAAGTGCCATCACCTGCACTCTGCATTCCCTCCCACGTATGCATGGCCAAACAAAGAAATCGCGCCCACTCCAAATATGGCATGTTCCGTTATGAGTATGACCTGACCTCTTATTTCTTCACACTTCGGTGCTCACTTGTTTACCCCTTAATTAGTTGTTTGTATAAAATATTAAAATATATTGTTTAACTATACACATATATTACTCAAAATAAAATAACACTTGTGAGTCTAAACCGTCCACATAATTAGCACCGAAACCATTTCCCTAAGTTCATCGCTCTCCTACCGTCAAAAGGGTGAATTAGCCAAAAAGATGTGATCAGCAATAAAATTAGATAAGTCCTTGAAAATTTTATGGATGAAGCATGCATTGGAAATTAAGCCAGTTGATCACCTTCCGGTCACTTTTAATTTGATCCCTAAACTCTATCTAAATTCCATTTTATGTTTTCACAGAAGTCAATTATTTATTATAATTATCATATTTTTAAATGTTAGTGTTCAGTAAATCGCAATTTGGAGCTTGCTCTTTTTGTTTTAAAAAATCATCAAATACAAACACCCACACACTTCTACATACATTCTTTCCTGACTAGGAGCTTGCTCCTTGTGTTAATGTAGGGCGAAGCAATAGAGGATGACCGCGCGGCCTAAATAGCAAACACCTGCTCTTCAATGTCAACCCTTTCGTACATATATTTCAGCGCCTGAGGCCGTCAAACCCGAGCATCGATATTTCAATAGCCTATGGTAACTAGCAAATATGAATATGATACTCCCTTCACCATACTTTTAAAAGAATTTGTCTATTATAGGTACTTGGATAGATTAAAATATTATTAAATACATTAATTTTAATAAAATTTATTAATATGTAAAATTTTATCTAAAAATATCTTGTAACTTGAGACAAAAAAAAATATAATCAAAATAAATTATAGAATGACATTTAAATGCTTGGTGATTATGAGAACCGGTTCTTTCAAAAATAATTTACAGCGATCAAACTAAACAATAAACTTAGATAAAAATTATAGGAATTATTGGATATTATTATAAAAAAATTAAATTTTTATTAACATGTAATAAATTAAACAGGCCAGTTTTTCATATCTACAATAAATATGCATATTTATTATTGAAAGAAGCACATTCCTTTAATTAATTCTCATACTTATCACTTTCCGGCTTATCACGTGATATTATAGCGTGGCTTTTATAATAAAACGAACTCATGCAAGCTATGACGGCAATATCATGATTATAGACTACAGAGTTGAGAACAATGTCCACTTTTTATCTCTCAGCAAAGCTTGAATAACAAATTAATGAAAAGAAACCTATTATTATTTTTTTTTAATCAAATGATCTCTAGCTCTTGTTTGATTAATAAACATATAAAAAATAAATATATCATGTTATAAACTGATACTCGCTGTTTTGCTTTTAGACAACCCAATTAAATATAAGACGAAGTTGTTTTATATATATGTATGCATGTATTAAAAAGAGAAGGCATACAATGATGCTCACAAACTTGTCCAGCTTTACCGGATACTATTTGAAAGCCCAAAACTGCAGGCTGTGGGGTTCGAACCCACGCGCACTTATGTGCAGAAGATCTTAAGTCTTCCCCCTTAACCTCTCGGGCAAACCTGCACCGTTGTGTGATGGATGTGTTAACAATTAAAATGACTAAAAACAAAATGCTTCCCTATATTTTTTTATATTTAAATATATATGTGTATATATCTTTTTATTCTTGTTATGAAATTATGAAAACAGGAGACTTAGTTGATCATCTTGCTGTCTAAACTACGAACATGTACCCACGCGATCCAAGACTAAGCTTCTTGTGTTAATTTAACAAAAATTTGAGTGGAAGTGAATGTACAACACAATACTATTATTGTTACGTATAGCTGAGATGGTTTATTTTCAAAGGAGACAAAGCAAAGAAGGGGCACATTAAAAAAGTGAAGTTGCAAAATAAAAATTAAGAACAACAAAATCTTTCAATCCATCTGATAATCTATTAAGAGTAACAATGCCATTTAACTTTTTTTAGTTTCCTTTACAGTATACTTCATTCAGAAGAACACCTGTAATTTCTTAACATACCCGGATATTCAATATATTCACAGATATTCAATATATCCACATAAAAACTAACACTATTGAATTGAGGCACGTCTATTTATGATTCACAACCTTAAAGAATCACCATCCTCTCTCATTCTACCAAATCCCACCTGCTAGAACTTGCTAGCAATAGAGTATCTTACAATCTTGAGAAGACGAAGACACGGTAACTGAAACTGCCGAATGAAGATCACTTCATGTTCAAAGTTCTTCTACGAGTTTGGAACAAAGGTGCCTACATATCCAAACGCCATGATGAAGAAGGCAACTGCTTGGATATAAAGGAATATGAAGTAATGATTTTTCCCGAACAGGAAATCATAGCACCCACAGAAGAAGAGGTAAAATCCGACTCCAAGCTCTAACAAGTGAAGCCTAATCATGTTTCAGCACGCAGACCACATACACGGGTCAGAAAAGGTATTCTTCAAGTATAAAATAGAGTATAACCGAGTCAAAATCACCAAATTCGTACCTGTCTCCAATCCGAAAGCGAGGCTTCTTGGACGTTTTAGTGCCTACTTTAGCTTTGAGAGCATCTCCAAGTTTTTCAGTGACAATCCATTCATTCACTCGACTTGCCTCTAGCAGACCAATAATTGTTGCCTTTGTTCGGTGTAGAGACATGACATTCTCAAACAGAATCCAGAACACTAGTAAGTGCAGTGACCTGAAACGCAGGAAACGCAGAATATATGGGTTCAATAAAGTTTTGCTTGCAAAACCTCTCATGTGTTGAGGGTAACTGATAGCAGAGTGGCACAGAAAAAAAGCAAAATTGAAAGAAATGAAGACCTAGGAGTTCCAACTGCATTAAGAAGGGTGATGATGGAAGGGATATAGACAGCTCCCCACTTGGGGACCACGACCTCGGGCACCACAACAGTTGCAGGCAGTACTGCGCAATAGAATATGAAAGTGTTGATGTGGGCTATGACTTTCCGAACAAAAAAGAAGCTGTAAATCACATAGATCTTCTTCCACAAGGACACTTTCTGTAGAGGACATATATATAAAAGCCAATGTCAATATCTCGCAATACTGATGTTGCAAGGAGGCAATCATGAATCATTCATACCTTGTTTGTCATAATCTCCCAAACCATTTTCCTGAAAAGATTGGCCGGTCCACAAGACCAACGATGCTGTTGGTAGCGATACGCCTTGAAAGTGCTTGGAAGTTCGTTTTTAACCTGTGGCCAGATCACCCACGTCAAAGAGAGAAAATCGAATTCTAATTGATGGCAATGGCCGAAGTATGTTGAGAAACTTAGAAGTGAACCTGTAAATTGCTTAAGTAGAGGAATTTCCAGCCTTTAAGACTGGCTCTCACGGCGAGGTCCATGTCTTCCACGGTGGTCCTATCCTTCCAGCCACCAGCCTCATTCAGAGCCGAGATCCTCCATACTCCCGCAGTCCCTGCATCATTATAAGATCACTTAACTGAATTGTACTCAGCTAGTGCTTCGCTTGCAATATTCGTTGGCTTCTTTTGTAATCGTGGCATAATTAGAGGAATAAGTCGGCACCGTTAAATCCGAAGAAGGCATAGGTGGAAGACCCCACTTCTTGTTCCACCGTAAAATGATAATCCAGCGACATCTCCTGCATCCTTGTCATCAAACACTCGTCCGAATTCACTGCAAAAACATTATCATTGTTCGGTTCATATTCGTTCCCGCGTCACTAATTAAACAAGCTTTCCCTTTTTTCTAACAATTCTGAAAAGGAACATTTGCACTCAACATTCTAAAAGTAAATACAGTCATATTAAAAACAAAAAAAAGTTTAAGTTTGAATTATCTCCGAACATTCTTGAACCTAAAAGTTTTTAATTGAAAATAATAAATTCTAACATTTTTTTACTATAATTACAAACTTGTCTGGAATTCCTCGGCCCCCAAAAGTCACGACCCTCTGTAGATGTTGGGTTGCCGTTCAACTACTACTATTTATTGAGTGGTGGACTCTGGCTTCATCGGTTGTCCCGTTATAGCAATCTTGCAAGGTAGTCGCAAAACACATGGAAAATCCCAAATACTATCTACTAGACAACGTGGGCTCCTGTCCCAGTTGTCCACTTCCTAATTCCTATAACCTTCTACCTTAATTTATTAATCCTATTAACCTGTGCTGTTTATAGCAGCTCCTATACTATGATCCATATATTAATCCAGATCTGGTTTTTGTTATCCGCATGTGAAGTGCTGGTCCAATGTTTATCTGACTTTTCGGCCACACAAACTATCAGTGTCGCGGCTGCTGCTATACAGCGAAATAATCATCTATCAGCTGTTTGTGGAAAACTTTCCTTGACATGTTGTACTACAAAAATGCAGAGGTGTTAAGTTGCTATCGCCGACTTTCCACGGGATTCAAACAAGACGACACCAAACAAAGTGGGAGAACTTAAAATATATGCTTTTCATTAAGCTACATGTAGAATATATATTTGAAAAGATGAGCATGAAGAACTCATCTTTGATGTGCATCGTGGAAATTGAAATTGGATAATTTATATACCTAATAATTAAAATTATTTAATGTGCGTCGTACAATTCAAATTTAGACACGGCAAGTATGATTTTTTTTTTTTAAAAAAAAAGCCGTTTCATTTGTATCCGTTTGGAGGCGAGTATAAAGTGGGCCCCGTCAACGGAAGAGTTGATTATACTCCCCCCCGTGGTTCAAACTTTAAAATTAAATCCAAGACAATCTTGGGCTAATTACAATTTGATTTTGAAGGGTTGGCGAACCACAAGATGGGACCTATCAAGTCCAACGAAACACAAATTCCAAAACGACCGACAGTGGTGTTAAACGAATCGGTGATTTTAAAACTTACTGCCATAAACAGGATACTAATTAGTGAAAAAAGGAAGAGAGAAAATTACCGAACTTCCAGCGAGCCTGAACGAGGGCTAGCTGGCGATTATGGAGGAGGAAAGGGATGGTGCGCCAGAGGAAATCAGGCTCTGGTTGAAAATCTGCGTCCAAAATGGCAACGTAGTCACACTGCTTCACGTAGCTTCGCTTCATCCCTTCTTTCAGAGCCCCTGCTTTGTACCCGTTTCTGTTGTCCCTGATCTCGTACTTTATGCTTATGCCTTTGCTCGCCCATCTCTTGCATTCCATCTCCACCATGCTCTGCATTGTTTGTCACAGTTCTTCTCACTATCACTGAATTCATGTCTAACGCACATTTCTTCATCTACATACCTTAATCGTGGGGTCGGTGGAATCGTCCAGAACTTGTATTATGATCCTATCGGAAGGCCACGACAGCCCACAAGCTGCTCCAATGGATAGATGATAAACCTGCATTTTACGTACAGACAAGTATACACATGTTTATCGAACTCCAAATGAAGGGTTGAATAAAATATGGGGTATATTTATCACGAGGCCAAAATTTGCAGAGCACCTCTCTTTCGTTGTACATCGGGATTTGAACAAGAACCATCGGGTAAGCTGAGTTCCCCAGCTCTACGTCGTCCTTCATTGCCTCCCATTTGTAACGCTTCTCTGGTTTTCTCCCGAGTAGTTTGACGAATGTGATAACGAGACCCATGTACACCCTCTCGAAGAACAACAATAAGGACATGATCAAGCACAGAGCCACTGCTATTCTCAGGAGCGGAACGATCAATGGGGCCTTGATTTGACTCCAAATCAACCCAATTTGCAGGGCAATGTCGTCTCTGACCCCTTGAAACGCATCCGGCAGAATAGTGGTGGATGAAAGCCGATCCATTTGAAATGTTGTCCCTGAATTTACAGAGAGGAAGGGCACAAGCTGCCAAGAGTAGAAGACAGGTACTCACTATGGAGAAAGTATTAAAAGAACAGGCTTTGGTAGAGAAACTGGAATATTTTTCTTCTTGTTTGTTTGTTTTTTTTTTTTTTTGGGTGATTGTTAATTTGCTTCTGAAGCAAGCAAGACAATGGAAGTAGAGCTGGAATGTGAGGTTACTCAGTACTCTTTGCTCCGAACCCCACTAATTAGCAAACACTCACAGGGAAGCAAAGAGGAAAACGGCGGCAGATCTCAAACTCAGGACTCGTAAGAAATGAGAGGGAACAGATATGGAAAAGGAATGGGGTTGCGTGCCTCCTTTTTCACCTTTCCGAAAGTCAAAACCTTCTCAGCTTCTGCCTTCCTTCATCAATGAAGCGAGAGCAGAAGCAGAAGCTGCATGACACTACCACTGGCGAGAGCGAGAGAGAAAGGTGAAGAGCAAGAGAGAAATAAAACAATGTTTTCTTTAGCAAGTGCTTATCGAGTCGGGGGTGGTGCCTTCTCTCTCTCGTCACCCTCTTTATAATATTTCTTTGCTCTCTTAGATGCCTCGCACCTTAATACGCCGCCATGGGCATGCTGTCACTGTTCTTCATCGCTTTCTGTGAAACTCTCTCAATGATTTTGACTACAACTACAACTAGTTAAATTGCCTGCATTGTACCAGCCAAATTGCTTTTAAAATCATTACTTGTAAATATGATTTATAAATAGCTTGATTTATTATAAAATTTTGTACCATATAATTAGTTTACGCGATGAAACTCAGGCAGGAAAAAAAATCGAGTAAAAGAACTGTGAAAGAATACAAAAACAAACGACCAAGCGGACTCGGGCCAAATTTAAAGTACATTAACCTGTTTGCCCTTGTTGTTCGCCAGTTTACATAACTGTTGTACAGAGATCACTTGTTAGGATAATACTTTGGGTAGCTTTTGGATTAGTGGATTAGATTTGAATTTAAAATTTAAAATTTTACATTTTAAATCTCACAGTTAGATTAGTATATTCAAAATTCTTCATTTGGCTAATTAAAAAAAATTCAGATAAAGAAGATAGATGAGTTAAGATTCAAAATAAAAATAAAAAATTAAAAATGATAAGTTTACTTATATTTTTCAATTAACGAGAAATTAAAAAAGATATAAGAGTTATAGAGATATTAATAACAAAAATACAAAAAGAATGAGATATTTCAAGTAATTAAAATTTCAAATGATTAGAATATAAGAAAAAATTAAAATTATAAAGAAAATGTAATAAGAGATGGATTTGGAACAAATCCATAAAATTTTGTTTATCCAAATGAGTGATTTGATCCAAATTTAAATTCACATTAATCCAAATACACCACTATAGAATATCAAAAGAGAAACTTATAAAAAAAATATTAAAAAAACATACATTTTGATCCTTACACTTTGTCCATATTTTGCTATACGTCCCTACACCTTTTTTTGGTGTTTTGAATTCCTATATTTTATTTTTTATGTTTTACACTCATTTAAAGTCCCTACACTTTATTCATTTTATTTATTTAGGGACTTAGAACACTGAAAAATGAAAATGTAAAGACCAAAACATTAAAAAAAATACAAAGACATGTAGCAAAACATGAGCAAAGTGCAGGATCAAAATGTATGTTTTTTTAAAAATATTTTTGTGTAAATTTGTTATATCGTACAAAGAAAAATTCATGTTGTCATCCCCTTGTGGCCTTGCCACTAGAGAAGCAAAAGAGCATGGCCAGCTCACTTGGGGTTTAATGGTGGTCCCATCCCATAGTTTGCACTTCACACTAGGCTTTTGTTGTGAATTATTGATAAAGAAATATTATATTAACTAAAACTTGAACCTACAGCGAATCTTTAATAGCGTGATATCAGAATTTAAAGGATCCACTTCCTAATTGCTAAAACTGTAAGCCTCCTGGAGTTGAGGAGAAATTAGTGACCAAAATCTAAGATTGGGGTTATGGAATATAAAAATTTAGCTTGCGTAACGACGACAAGATGGGGGGTGGGGCAGACAGGAAATTATAAATGATCATAATCACTAGTCACAAATCTTTCTAAATCTTCACATAATACCCTGGCTTGTAGTCAAATTATATATAAATTGAATTCCTAATCAGCGTGTTGATATCATTATTGGAAGTAAACATAAATTTCATTCTGTTCATCATTATTCATCTTGAACTACCTATGTTAATTATATATTAATCTTATCCTACCTTCACTTATGGTTTTAACTTTTAAGCCCCCGTCATACAGACAAATATAACAAAACCTTATATATCTAATTGAAGCACTTGACTTTTGCACTAACCTAAAAAAATTTTGATGAAAAAAATGGCAGTAATTACAAAATGAACCTTTTTGTACTTGGAGAACACGTTAGTGGGGATATATAATATTATAACATGGCAGTCATAAATCTTTCTTAATCTCCACCTAATAATATTCAAGCAACAGTCAACACAAATGTACATTGAGCACTCAATGGTATTAAGGACAAACCACTAATTAAGACCAAAACTTCAAATAGTGAATCATTTACACGCTGCTGTTATCCATCAATCCCTTACCATTGCTGAAGATGATTTTTGATCGCTTTATGCTTGTCTGTCTTGTGGAAGAAGAAAGCGTCCCCAGAAACGTGCACATGTATTCCAGCTTTTAAAACTCACCCATACAAGTTTGAAGAAGAAGCCATATATATGTTAACAAAATAACAAGGGATCCACACAACACTAGAACTGAAGGAAGTATGTTGCTTTTTCCTTTTTGATCAAAAGCAGAGATAGATTTCACATGGATATTGATAATTGTCCAATTATAAATAAAATTACAGTTACAATTTTCCATATTAGAATATTATATTGAAGAAGAAAAGATATTGCTGTGTTGGCTTGTTGTAGCAAAAAGTAAGGATCATATGAGGCAAGCATAGTAGTATGGACTATGAAGTGAAGTTACTTGGTGAGGTAGACTTGAAAGCAAAAGGCTGGTTTTGTAAGCACCTACTAATACCATGTATGGGTGATGATGGTACATCTATTTTGTCTCCAAATCATTTACTACTACACAGACACCAAATATGGTTTGGTAATTGATGGCGATCAGCTTTCAAAATATTTTCTACAACATGCTTCTAGTGTGCCTTTACATGTCTTTTTAAGACTAGACATTCCACCTTCTTCCACTCCTCATACTTCAGTCCCAAGCTTTCCCACAGGTCTTCTTCTTCTTCTTCACAGTATTGACTCCTTATTTGCTCATCAAGAAATACATGGTGCCATTGCTATCTCTACAGAAAAATGATGCACTTTCGGTGCATTAAATTGTCAGTCCAAAAACCTTTATCCTTTTCAGTCTAATATTAAGCAGTTGCCATGTTCGAGTCAGTATTGATTTTGTTAATTATATCTTTAAGTTGACACACAAAGACTAGCGTTTTTTCTTTTAATAAGCTTAGCTTGCTTGCATGGCTATACTACTTTACTTCTGAAGATGGACATACATGGACACGTATTGTTACAGGTACAGAAAGGTGGGACAGTCTAATTCTAGAGTAATATGTTTTTCTTTGGAATCTTTATGAAATGACCCCTTTCACCATTATAATTTTCCACAATGTTTATCATTACTGTGATCGTTATTGGCCACGGAAATTGCCAGGTAATGATCCAATTAAGCACATATGCTTTAGCTAATTAATCATATCCACAATGATCACAGACAGACTCCTTAATTGACTATTATCATCTGCATGCAATTCAAATAAATGTGCTCACGAAGCCACACTCATTATGTCATTGATTTTAAGTTTTAACAGACACACATATGTCACTCACAAATATACCAATATATCCATTTCTATTTTCCTTTTTCCTAGCCGTTATCAAATATATTGTAACCAATTCTCTTTTGTTTTAAAAAAATGTGAATAATGTTTCGTTAAAAAGAAATAGATAGATTACTAGCCATGGCTCGTCATGCTTGCAGTTTGAGTCTTCTTTTTCATGAAAAAAATTAACTATTTTTTAATCTCTCTTTTACACGTCAAATTAATCTATTTATATTTGCAGGTTAAATTTTAAAAATTATAAGTGATTACAACTTGTGGGTAATTATTTTTTTTTAATTCAAGAATTGTATGTAATTCTCTCAAAAGAAATCTCTGAGACTGATAAAATATATGAGAGGTTGAGATTTACATTGGTGATATGAGACCTGTAGTGTGTTTGGATAAGGGAAAAAATCAATTTTTTTCCTCCAGAATCAATGTTTTCAACAAATTGTCCAAATAATCAAAATAAGACAAAAATTAGTTCTCGCGTGTTACGCGCTTTTTCTCATATGTTGATGGAATCATTGTCAAAAGTTAATTAAAAAACATTAGAGAAAATTACAAAAGAAAACACGCAAGAAAATTATAAATAAAGCACATAATTTAATAAAAATAAAATTGTAACTCTTTTCTCTTCTCTCTTTTTTTCCTTAATAAAATTTAAATTTTATATCCTCAAAAAATTAATTTTTTATATTTAAGAATTAAATTATATATAATTTATATAACTAAAATTGATTCTGATTAAATTATCCAAATATTTTTAATTCTTTTAAAATTAATTTTAGAAAAATAGTATCCAAACAGATTGCGTCATAACATAATCAATTATGATTAAAATCTACCACTTAATTAATTATTTTTATAATCTATTATACCCAACTGAAATTCAAACGGACTCCTTATCTCTGTCTCTCAGATTTCCTTTTTCTGTCAAACAGGAAAACCATTGAGTAGATTATTATTATTATTATTATTATTATTATATATTTTGGTGAATGACTTGCTTAAATTTTACTTGTGCTTTTCAGGGCGTAATTTTTTTTGTTTCCCCCCATCTATACGGAGAAGTTCATCACGTAACGTCTTGTTGACCGATTACAATGGCTACTTTCTATCCTACTGTGATAACAGATGTGACAAAGGTAGTAATCTTTGATTGGCCCGTTTTTGTATGTCTATCTTTCCTTTGAAGTTTACTTGACAGTGCAGCTCAAATAAGTTGAAGTAGCTACAGAAACGGGACTTGGTTTAAAGTTCAAAAGTACCAATTAGCTACATTCGCCTTTTGTTTCTTCCAAGAGCGTCGCATAAATAAATACGTTGGTTGTTGAAGCTATCTGGCAACGTTTCAGAATTTTCATTACCGAGCTCTAGTTAGTAGCACCCTGTGACATAACAACTACATTGAAAATCTCATCATATCTCAGATGGTCAGAAGAAATACGAAGACTGAACATAGCAGACGACAAGTCGTTTTACCTTAAACCGTTCAAACTTCTACCATTATAAGTTGTTGGTCGATTGAAGTCACGTCTCTCACGTAATGGAAATCCCCCCTCAAACTACAAATTTTTTTATCCGAGGAACTTAGACAAACCATACATCCACCGACTTAACCATCGTTAAGATATTGATGCTTCTTCTACTAGTCGATCGGTCATTCTTCTCCTACCCTCAAACAGTTATTGTTAGAAAATGACATGGGACCAGGGAAGCTCCAAAAATAGGAGTCGAGAGAAGCATTGAATTTACTCTATGTTTAGTTTTAGAATGAATGGGATGGTTGGAAGGCTTCAATTTATAAGTCTGTTTTTTAAAGAGTCATGAAATGGCATAGAAAGACCTCCTTTGTCACCCACAAATCAATTTTGTTGTCCTCCAAATTGGGAGATCAAGGGGTGGTATAATATTATTACTTCATTTATAAAATTATCCTCATACTCTTTACCCTAATAAAAAAATCACATTTATTATTTTCATCCTCCAGTCATCTCTTTTACCTCGTGCCATCTCTCTCCCCTCCTTTCAAAATTACAATTTATTGTATTTCTTTCTTATGCAATAAATATGCTTGCTTAAGTAATTCTGATAGTTGCTTTTTTGTTTATTCTTAATTCTTGAATACATTATTTGACCGTTAATTAATTATTATTATTTTTTATTGAACAAATATTATAATTATTTAATGAGCATATTATATATTCTTTTAAATGTAGTCACATGGTAATATTAAAAGAAAAAAAATTTAATCCATTCTATTCTACCCATTTGATTATATAAAACCATTTATTCTCATTATAAACTTTCAAATAATAAAATTTTTTCCTCTATTATGCTCTTCCCCATTTCATTTTATTAATAATCATTCTTTTTCATTCAATTATAAACTCTCAAATGCACTTTTCCTATCTATTTGTTTTTCAGGTGATCAGATCCATTATGTTTAATAACAAAAAAATGTTGATATTAACAATCGAGATTAAGGTGGTTGACAGTTGTGTAATAGTAGCTAGGTCTTGAAAAAAAAAATATAAAAATGACTATCGATTTTCCCGTTTCAGTAAGTCAAGTAAAGCTTAATGGACGCTGGTATAATTTCTTTTTTCTTTTTTTTTTACAGGTATGATTCATTTAATGGAACAGTAGCAACAATCCTTTAAGGTGATAGAAGTCTGTCTGAAGGAATAGCATACGTGCCTCTGATCTGACCCGATTGTTATAGCATAAAAAACCACATCGTACGTGAGCCTCTCCTGGAAAATCAACCTCAAGATATTGAGTTGGATGAAGACGTCCTCTTGTGGAATGGCGAAAGACTAGTCGGTTCTAGATTTATTTGATTAAGAGATCAAGAGCCACAAAAGAGTTAAAATAAAAAAAGTGACTGTGGAAATTATTGTTGGGATTGGGCTAATATATTTCTTCAGTTGTCTTTCGTTCTTTACAAACATGGGCCTTCCAGAAGCTTCCCTAACCATCAGGCCTGTGATCCCGATACGCCAAACATGAACTTCAACATTTTTTTTACCCAACAAAAAAAAAAGTAACTTCAATCCTTTAAGGTGTGGCTTTTATCATGATACCTATCCAAATGGAAATACAGTAACGCTACCTGTTCAATTTCTCTGAAATCAGAAAACTTTATTTTACAATTTGCATTGATAATAATTACGAGTTTAAACTTTAAACAACACTAAGGCACAAGCAACAGCTAATAAACACAAGGAAAGAAGGGAAAATAAAAAATAAAAAAACAAGTATTAAAACAACGGATACAAGAAGTCAGTTGGGCACCAAACGGGGATCGACGTCTAGCCTGCCAACACCTTCTTCCCCCTCCGCGGCCTTAGCCACCTCAACCTCACCGACCACCAAATCACCGACGCCCTTCTCCTCCCGTTCTTCGTCCACGTAGTTAGGGTCCTTCTCGTCGAGGGCCGCCGGCGCCGCCTCCAGCTCGCTCTCCACCATGTCCCCGGGGCCTTCCCACGTGTACTTGCCGCCGTGCCCGCTCTTGGGCGGCGGCTTCCTGATGCCGATGCCGTCGGCCGGGTGGCGCTCCATCCGCTGAACCCCCTTGTCCATGAGCTTCTTCTCTACGTACTTGATGGTGTCTATGTTATGGGTGTTCAGCTCCGTCTTCTCCACCCTCTTCCTCCCTTCTTCGTCATGACTTACGGCTCTGATCGTCACCTTGTCTTTTTTGTCGTCGATTGGCTTCATTCTCTTCTTTCACTTACGATGAAACTTGAGCGGAAGTAGCTGCGCTCACTTGGTTTCTTCTTCTGGACTGGAAGCTATGAGTGAATTGGTGGAGGAGGAGTAGCTTATATAAAGTTCTCTTGGCATTTTTGTTTTCTTATTTTGGTCTATGGATATGAGTACCAGAAGGTGCTGGAAGTGTGTGTGGTTTCGTCACGTGTATGCTACGTAGATTATCAGTGTGACTCGGATAGGCCTAAGGCACCGACCTTTTTTAATTATGAAAGAAGCGATTATGTGTGTGGGCTTGCTCACCAGGTGATAATTGATAGTTTAGATACTAAAATATTTTATAAGAAGGCAACAGTGGCAAATTTGTTGCGGGAATTGTTTATCTTGTAAATCAGTGAGTGCAGTCCATAAGCTGTTCATGATCAATTCCTGATGTTGGGTTAATTTTTTAGATGAAACTCCCGGTTCATCTAGCCATGTGAATAATCAAGATGCTTCTGGAATCTGAACTCTTCGTGGATTCTTCTACTAACTGCTTGAAATTTTGGGAATCCGCTGGGCTATAATAACCTGCATATGGATCAGTTGGGCCGATCGACACTGGGTGCGGCTTGTCCCATGATTTTTTTTGGGGTCCAATCGGGTTGTCTAGTGTTCAGTGGGTCGGTTTCCCTCATTTCATCCAATGGAACGATGATTGCCCCTTACACTTCTTAAAGCCATCCTTTCATTTCATTAATCAAGGCAAATGAAAAGAAAAGGTGAGGGAGAAGATCATGTTTTCATAATTTGATATGTAGAAAAAAGAGGAAAGTCAGATTTTGACTGAATTTTCAAGACACACGAGAATTCCAGGAAGATTATTGTGTATTACAAATCAAATAAAAGGTCAAAAATACCCTAATCACTTAATAAAAGAGAGATAATCTAGTTGTTTGTCTCATTCCTTCTCTCCTTTCTCTTCCACAAAACTATGCCAAGAAAGAAATTCTACGGTTTTTATTTGCACCCCAAGTATAATTTCTTCACAGTTGGATTTAGGATTCTCACTCAACACAATATACCAGAATCAAAATTGATTTGTCCCATGTTCTTCTTGGCACCTGCTGCCGAATCAGGTCACTTGCACCATGAATTTGTTTTCCCCGTTCATTGCAGCCATTTTCAGACAGGAAATAAAAGGAAGGGCATCCCACAACTAATTCCAAACGAACCAGAAAAGGTGAAAAATGCTGCCGTCAATTCTGTGAAGAAAATATCCACCTCAAGTACCTGCTCCGTTTCAACGGAAGGGAAAAGAGGATTGATGTTTCTAATTAAGGGACGAGGTGGTTCTGCACAAACAAGAAAAGGAATTCAACGAGCTGACTGTCCCAGTCCATATATAAAAAGGTCTCCATGCTTTGCTCATCATCCAGAGCCATTTACTTCGCAAGCTGAATTGCTCACCACTCGGCAGACCTTTGGTCAACCTAATAAATGTACATTGCACTCCTGCTCGTCACATATTACTGTACTCGTCTGCTGGGTCCCTGTTGTCCTCACCTGCATTTATCATGCTGCCACACTCCATGTCTTTTCTCCGTCTCCACTCTAATTCCTGCTCTCATTGGTGCTTCACTCCTCTCAGAACCACCGTAAGCTGATCTCATATCTAAAGTCAAATAAATGGATTGAACTCACAAGTTCCACCTATTTAATTTACCTTAAGTTAAGTTGAAGAAGTTAGCCCGTCTTTTAAAATAAATAAGATGGTCCAACTCACAAAATTGACATGCTAAATGGGTGAGCCTATTTTTTGTTAATTTTTTTTAATTATAATATATTTTTTTATAAATGTACAATAATGATATGATAATATTTTTTGAATTTATAATTTATGGCTTTCAAATATATTTTTTTCATGCTTGAAAAATGATATAAATTTTTTTTACAATTTGCAAATAATTTTTTTGCTATATCTTGTAAATTGATGATTTCTTAATTTTTATAAAAATAATAAGATCTATTGATTAAAATTATAAATATGAATTTGTTGAGAAAAATAATATGAGTTTATGTTCAAATGTTGGTTTTTTTTTAGTGAAAAAAATAATGCATCTAATAACAAAAATCTAGCATAAATTTTTTAATATTTTGACTTCCGTCTTCTATTTAACTTACAATCCATGGAAACCAAATAAAAATAATATCAAAATTACATTTAAAATTTTTTGTTACCCTGAAAATATTTTTATCTAATTCTCCTTCTTTCATCAATTTCATGTCCATCTCTTTTCAATTTTATTTTTATTATTCAAACTTACTTTTAGTGAGGCATCCAAGTCAAAAAGGTTTGGACTCTAAATTTTTTTTTGAAGCACAGTGGCCTCTCAACTTCACAATATCAACAGATCATTTTAGATTTAGATAGGTGTGGAAAAATTAGATTTGATTCAATAAACCCAGAATTTAAAAAGGATTAATGAGCATAATAGAGCCTAAATTTTTGCTTAAAAAATACCCTGAACCTTGAACTCTTAAAATGTATAAAATAAATGCTAAACTTTTAAATTCATAACAAATTAAACTCTATCGCTATCTTTTATTAATGTTGTTACTATTCACCATAGGTCTCAGTTAATTACTACCATAGACCCTAAAAACTATTACGCTATAGTATCCTGTGTAACATTCTTGATTTTAAATCAGATTAATTAAGCTCAAATAGATTAATTAAGTGTATTAGTTAGGTGTGTAGTCAGAGAGGCCTAACGGATGTGTTTGGTCTCAATTTTAGCTCTAAACGCGGCTCTAAAGGAAAATCGAGTTACTCGAGAATGGAAGAGGAAGAATTTCTAAAGAAAATGATTATGTGCCACGCGCCGCGATATGTGGATGAGCCGCTACGGCACATGTGTGACAACATGCCTGGAAGAGGCTCTCTGTGCCATGCACCGTGGCGTATTGTGCGTCCATTACGATGCATGGTCAGAGTAAGTCACGAAACTTAAGCAAAAGAAAAGAGAACATAAAGGGAACCGAAAGAGAGATGAAAGAGCTAAGCTAGGGCTTGAAAAAATTAACTTATAGGAGTAATTTGGAGTTGATAAATACTAAAGGCAAGCTTCCTTACTTAAATCTTCCTCTCTTCTTCCATTTTCTTGACGGTAGAAGTTAGAGTTTGATTGATAATAGTGATTTTCAGTCCATAGAGGCTATAAGTCCAAACCCATTGACTTAAATAGAGTTAATGGGAGTAGATTGAGCTAAGTAAACTTAGTATTTATGATTTTATGGATTGATAGTTGGGGGACATTAAATGTCTGAAATTCTCATAATATGGTGATTGGGAATAATGTGGTTCTATTAATGACCATTTAAAAGCTCAATATTATTAATGAGGGTTAAAAAAAGCTAAGAAGCCTTATAAGTACTTTTACATGAGTGAAGAACAAATCTTGAATATTAAGAAATGTTGAAGTGTTAGTAAAAATAGGTCAAATATAGATATTGATATTTTGTATGATAAATGCTTATATAGTAACTATCATTGACACCATTCAAGCTTTTTGGAAGCTTCAGGAGTGAGTAATTGAGGGGTAAAACTTTTAACCTCTCAAAAATTTAAAGTAACCGAGAAAATTTTATCTTATACTTTTATGTGTTTATTAGTTTATAAGTTTATAATTGATCATTGAAATGTGTAAATTAAAATGAAATGCAAGTGTGGCTTGATTTATTAGAAAATTCACTAGATTAATTTTATGAAGTTTTAGGCCTTGTGATGTGAAATTCTTTGAGAACAATATCGGTGGGTTTTTCATATTATATTTATTGGAAGTTTGA